TTATTGAAAAGAAGGTTAGTGCCTCTACTTACAAACTCTAACTTCTAGCAACATAGAAGTATATACACTTAGTGTTTAACAAGGTTCTACTGTCTTAGTATTACAATCCAGGTTTTCCTTTGTAACAAAGACCCCTACCACCTCTACTAGAACTTATTAGTTCTGAACCAGAATACAAAGTAGAGTACATAGTAGATACTAAGCTAGTGTGTAGAAAGCTCAAGTTCCTTATCTACTAGAAGGGATACTTAGTTGAAGAACACACTTAGGAACCTGCTGAGAATCTTACTCATACTATTAAGGCAATTCAAGACTTCTATTGACTTCATCCAGGTGCTCTGTGTCAACTCTACCTTACAGATTTCTAAACCCTACTGTTTCAACCTATACCTGAGCTACTAACCAAGTCTAATGTTCACCAATCAGGACAATTGGTTTTAGAGAGGGGGTGATGTTACAGTTCTCTACTCTCATACCTTTAGTTTTAAGGGTTCTACACCCTTCCATACTAGAACTCAGAACTTCTGTCCCTTGAGAGTACTGTCTATAGACTATATGTATACTGACTCTTACTACTACCCTTCCTTACTTCATCATTCCATTCCTTTGACCACCCCTTCATTCTTTGTTCATTTTATAGTCTCTTACCCTTTGTCTATCCCTTCATTCTTGTACCTTTATCTTTGACCTCCCCTTTCTTTCATTCCTTGTAGCTTATCATTCTTAGTAGCTCATACTCCCTGAGTACTCTTATATAGTTTAGTATATATAAGTGTATAAGATCAGACTGGTCCTATAGTCTTAATCTTGTCTACTCTAGGTAGTCCTGTACTCTTAGGCTTACTCTATATACTCTACTCTTGTCTCACTCTCTCTCTCTGCCTGTTCTGTAAGTTCTGACTATGTTCTAGTACTCACATTCTGTATTTCTGTTATGTAGGATAGTTGTAGCCTGGGTCCCCTTGCTGAGCCTTTGAGTCCTCTCTACACTGTTGCTAACAATGTTTATGTTATAAAGCTTGTTTCTACTCATACAATTTATATTCCTAGCCTGTTCTACTACCATTTGGTCTTTACTGTCTCAAGTAGTAGCAAAAAGGCCTGTGTTATTATGACTATTGTAGTTTGTAATAGTTTCTGGGTTGTTGTTTAAATTGATCAATATGTTGTGTATAACCATTAGAGCTTCAACTGTCATATAAATAATGTTGAGCTTGTATCCAGGAAAACTTTGTAGGGAAGTGAATCATCCTTTAAGTATTCCAAATGTGTGCTCAATCATAATACAGTAATGTGAGAGTTTGAAGTTAAAATCTCAGTAACAGTAAGACTCTTAAGGGTCATTTGTATGTTTGTAATTAGTAAACAGGTGGATAGTGAACTGGGTGAGTAGGTAACCTATATAAAATCAAAACATTAATAAACCCTGTACTGTTCTAGGAGATTATAATAAACCAAATAGTACTCATAGTACAGATGGTGTACCTTTATTAGCTAGAATATACTTGTCTCTATTAAAGTGCTCTGCTAGGAATTACTATATCCTAGACTCTTTGAAAACAGTAGTGTCTTGAACATTTCTGGGCCAGCCCAAGTCAAACTCAGTAAAGTGCTTTCTGTTGTTACAGACTGCCTGAAGAACAATCTAAGAGAAAGGACTATGAGAGAAATGTAAAAAGACAAAAAGACTATTATACTTACTAAATAGTACTTTTTTCTACTAAAGTAAAGATTTCCATCTTTCCTAGGTTTTGTAACAAGTAGGATGAGTGAACTGTTCACCATACTAATACACCCTGGAAATCCTTTAGCTTGAAGACATAATTTCAGTTCTAAACAATGTTTACTAGTAGGCCAAGTAAGAAACTAAGGCCTGAGCTAGTAAAAAGCAGTACAGACACAGGTACAGTATAGAGGTACTGTGCTTGCTACAATAGATGATTGCTCTACAACCTTAATACCTGTTGTACTACTGTAACATAGTAGAAATACAGCAAGTTGCTCCTAATGAGGATACTACAGATGTTTACTAGTTCTCCTGAAGACCTTATCATCCTTGATGAGGTCACTAAGCATCTTGAATAAAGTACAGTTGACTCTAAAGAGACATGGATTAGAATACAGTAGCATGCATATGATTCATAACCTTCAAGACATACCTGAAGAACACTTTGAAAATATAATCCAAAGTACTAAACAGCAAGTTATTAAGGAAATCCTTAGAGTAGGATACACTGTATGAGTCACAAAATAAAGGGCAAGTATAAAGGAGCAGACAATGAGCTTCATATGTAAGAAGAAGGCTGAGGAGCAGGTCAAATTCAGTGTCAAAATGCAGAATACACAGGGTAGATAGAGTACTCATACTCATAGTAAATTTATTACTATAATAAGTAGAGCCAGGCATCTTGAAAGGAGAATAGAGAGTGTAAGATATACAAGAAAACAGCCTGTATATACACTTAACACACTCTTCCTATATGGTCACATGACTGTACTTCTTAGTATATTTCATACTTCTTAAGGATTTATGTTACAGTATACAATCAAATGTTTTTTTTTTTCTAAACTCTACATGTCTACAAGTGCAAACAAGTGGGTTTGAGCACTTGCACACACTTACAGACAGTTGTACAGATCTCATCTCCATTTGGTATCTATTAAGGTACATACTACTTTGCTGAGACACCCCAAAATCTTCCTACTGTCCTGCAAGTGCTCCTGCCAATTAATTGAATTCACCTAGTACTAGTGTCAACCTTGTTGATGTTGCCAATGAAGGCCATTACAGTCAGACAAAAGGCAAGGCTGGTGACTGAATTGCCTTTGATAGAGTATGAGTAGAAACTCCTGAGAGCCTGTAGGAAACTAGTTTTCCACAGGTCATTTTGCTGGGCCTCTGGAGGCATGGTAAACCTCGCGTGGACAACACTTAGTCAGCATATTAGTAATATCACTATAATGTTCCAAAAAGGAAAGTTTTAAGAATTTTGTACTGTACCTCTATTAAGCTGAAAGTTTAGGTGTAATATTAATTTCAGACATTGGTTATACTGCTGAGAGCAATTATATTGTGTTTTATAGTCTACCAGTGTTGAAACCTACATAATAAATAGATATATCTAAGAGAAATAAAAATAAAGAGGCAACCAGTTACATTAATCAGGCTTTATTATTGTTCAAAATTTGTAAATCATCCAAAGAGGTACTGGAAATATTGTCCACATCTATCACCTGTACCTCTCTATTTTTATCAGAGTGTACTCCTTCAAATGAAGGAGTATCTGAAAGAATGTCAGGCAAAGTAGGAGATGTTGACCTAATAAAATGACAGACATAGAGTATATACACTCTCAAACTATCTATTTTCCTTGCTTTTTGTCAGGTTGAGGCATTTTTTCTTAATTTATCTACTGACATAATATTATGTATGACTAATACATTTGAGTTTTCCACAGGCCAATTTCCGGCAACCCTTGTGGTAGTGAGGTTTACCTCGTGGGAAACCTCTGTGGTAATCCTCACTGTGGGAAACTAGGGAGTTTCCACTCGTACTCTAGCCTTTGAACCTTTTATATGGTCCTTTGATGCTGAATAACAAAGAAATCTACAGTCGAATAAGCCACTCAAACGATATGATGCGTTACTTTTTCTTCCCTTTGACAATCGTATCGGGATAAGTCAAAATTACGCGAGAACAGGGTCAAAGCTTCTTTTCGACATAATCTGAATTACTTTCTAATTGAAATTTCTTGCCCCTGACCTACATCTGGATTTGATACATGCCAGACTCCTGTTTCAGCACTCTACTCGCTCGAACTACGGTACAGATATGTTCGAAATCTAGAAACATGTTCTGTGTTTGTTCTTTCATGTCGCATATGACCAATCAAAGGACTAAGATACCAAGAAGTTTCTTTCCTTACTTTACCGTTTGTAGGGCCCTCGTTCGGGTCCTGATATACAATGTACCTTAACAATATCCACAGATACTTCTACGTCAATTTGGATGGATCAAACTCACAAGGATCTTTTGCGAATCCTTGCCAATTGCCTGCTCCGACAATCGTTGTTGTGGGTTCTTCCAGAGTACTGAGGCAGATTACATGCCACGGATCAGATTCGCATTTTGAGTAAGGTGGATGGACAGCTCGTAACAATTGACTCGTTAAAGATCCCTCAATGGAAGAACTGGACAAACAATACTGGGCTACTGGCGACGGTTGAGCAAGTAGAGGCTAAAGTTGTTTTTGTCATTCGAATATTTTCTCTTGATTTGTATCTTGTGTTTTGGCCAGGAGCCCAGTTCATGCAAATGCATTTAGTACACATACTTAGAGAATAATGCAAGGTATATGCAGTGGCATTTATTATGACTATTAATACCATTTGCATCCAGACTAGGTGGAGTGAAACTGTGAAAGTAAAGAAAAACACGATTGAGAATAGTGTATTTGACGTCACACAACCACAAATCTCCATACACAAGTATGAGGTTGCCTTACCATGTGGATTCACCCTAGCATGCTACAATTGATTTTCGTCAACAGCACACAGTGCTGTTAATTAAAGAACAATTTTTACTACTTGTCTAGCCTCCACACAGTACACACGTCAGGTTGACATGATACCGAGACTTTCCCTTCAACATCATGGCAACTTGTTAGGGTTAGGACCTTAGCTGATTTCATGTGAGGGCATGTACTGAGTGTCCTTGCCTGTTAAAGTTTGCTTGTCGGCCTATTTCAGAGAGTAGGTTCTGGACTCCTATGGAATGTCGGGTCGCCAAAAAGCAATTTCACCGTTACTCACAGCTATTTTTTATTTCCTCACAATTTCTATGCATAATGGAATAACTATGACTTTGAACAGTGACAGAACAGTGCTTTTGATACGATCTATTCGCCTACTTACCTTATTTTATATTTGTCCACTTACCTTAGGATATGCACGGTCGCCGGTCGGTAGCCGTATTCTGTCATTACAATATACTAGGTCAACTAGTTGGAATCGCCGTACTTGGACTGGGGTTCCCTACTCCGACGATAATTCGTGCGAGATCGATGGAAAGGCTTGCGCTTGGGATCGGGGCGCGGAGGAACCGGCGACCGGAATGGTGTTCGAAGAGCTACTGCCTGCATGCCACGTTCTAGGCAATCCAACACTTTCTCGAGTACCCTTGGTTTGTTGACTTCGCATGAGCCCCTTTCAATGTGTTCGCAAAGAGCGCTGCGTGCAATGAATTGGATGTCGCAGTTGTGCATCGGGCAATGGTACGCTTTTTCAAGGAGGTGATGCTTGTTGTCTAAGTGTCGATCGAGGTCGCGTAATGTCTTAAATAACCTGGGGCGGCACCGGTACATACGGCTATTTCGACAATAATCCACCGTGGCGGATTTGGATTTGGAAGGGTTGCTCGTCCCGTTGGATTCGGCAGTATCGCGTTTTGGTTTCATGATGACGTTCTGATCGTCGTACTGAGTAATAAATGCGTCGACGTCCTTCTGCGTAATACGCAAGGAGCAATAGCCACCCTCCACATGGGAAATCAAGCCAGATAAGCTTGAAACCTTCTTGCCGCACGTATTTTCTAGGCACGTTATCAACCTCGGAGCATGGGTTGACGAAAGGCGGTGTTGTTCAAGATTGTTTTGCGACAGAAACACTTTGTCGCATGGGCGACAGTAGTGGTGTTTGGACTCATTGTGTTTCGTATATCTGTCGGACGTGGTGAATATCTTATCGCAAGTCCGGCATACAAAATGCTTCTCGTGTCCGTGTTTGAGAAGTGCTTCTGCGTCTGCGATTTCCAGGCGGCAAGCAGGGCAGTAAACGTGCGTCGCAGGAGAGATAGGAGACCCATCAAGTACCGTGTCATTTGCTTTGAGTGACTCGAGTTGAACCTAGAAGTTTCTAAATCCTGAATCGCCTAGCCGAACTTAAGCGAGAGTAAACAGAGAGGTAACCGAATAAGACATGCGATCCAAAAGTGTGCATCAGAAGGTCCGGCCCTATTCAGAGTAGAAATAATATGTTCTATTTTCATGATTGTCATACCATATATAGTTAGGATGTGATCAAGCCGATCAAAACTATACTCTTTTTGTTTTTATCAGCTTGTCAGTGCCTGATGTACACAAAAATGCTCGAGCCACGGTCGTCGGTCCTCCCTCTGTCTGGCCTTCCTACGCGGCGCATTAATATTGTCTCTCAGTCTTTCTCCTAGCTTACTCTATTTGCTCCTTACTTCAAGGCAGTTATGACTTCTCAAGGAAGGCCACCTGAGCCTGCATCATCTGCCAGTTACCAGGATGCACACCTGTCTGTATCGTCATGTCCTTCCACCGGCCCACAAGTTCCAAGGTCACCGGCATTTGCTACTCGTCAGGAAAAGGTGGAGGCCATGGAGGATAGGCAGATACATAGGTATCAGGTGCGCACATACCTTTCTTTTCTTTCCTTTTTTTGACTTCTTTTTTGGTGTTTTGACTCTAGACGACCGGTATTGTGTGCAACGTAACGCCTACGTCTTCGTCCAGGATGCCGCCACCTAACGTTCCATCACGCCCGCTATCTGGAAACCGAGAGGCTATCCTTCCTCCCTCCTCCGGGTCCACTCGTCCTATCTCATCACCTCCGCCCACCCAAGCTGAGCTGTCCCATCTCAGTACGACGAGGCAGCGCGGATGGCAGATCTCCACTCCATATACGTTTGCACCTCAACCGTTCCAACCTAATGCAACAGCACAATACGGTCTGGTACCACTATCCACACCCTCTCATGCTTCAGTTCCTAGTATGGCGAGACAGCATGGAAGTCCTAGTACCACACCCTCGGTTACCACACCCGCATCTGCATCGTCTACGCAGTCATGCCCTCCATTTCTCAGTACGACGATACGTCGCGAGTCTCAAGTTAACTCACTTCCTGCTCAAACTGACGTCACGGAATTGTCATCTGGTTCCTCTGAGCAGGAAGCAGAGGACACCCGACATCATCCAAAACGTCGTAAACGCGCGCAATCACAGAACGAGAAGCCAGTCAAGAAATCAAAGGGGACGGGCTCTACATCTACTGCGCCAAAGAAGGGGAGAGGTGGACGTCAGCCAGGAGCATTTAACTGGCGGCTGGACGAGGATATTTGTGTGGTAGACATCTTCCACGACAGGAGCCCAATCTCCAGCTCAGAGATGAAAGAGTGTGCGAAAATATACAACATCTGGGCAAACGCTAATGGGTATCCCCAGCGCGAAGAGGATAAATTGAAGAAACGGGTCGACAAGGTACTTGCAGTCGCTGCATACTTCTCACTTGCAAACGCTGCCAGGGTGAGCAGTGAACGCTGGCCCTCCATGGACATGTGCCCCTATGCATATGTACATTCCAGTGCGACTGGACACTTCTGAGAGTCGTATAGTGCTCTCAGAGCGCAACTGCGGGATCAGATGTTCCATACGCGTATGACTGGCTACAGTACTGGCTCCACTCTTTGCACAATTTTCTGTTACAATCTCTACCCTATTTCATACACGATTGCGTACATCCAATACTAATTATTGATCCTTTAGCTCAGCAAAACTCTGAAGCCTGCCGATGGCCCTCTACCAAAGCACATAGAGAAGGCCATGCAGATCAAGCCCCGGATACAAGCACGATTGAAGGCCATCATCGACGACGCGCAGGAGGATGAGTCTGAGACTGCGTCAACTCATCACAGCGAGTCGGACCTGTCTGCAGTAGAGGAAGTTAGTAAGGAACAAGGCAAAGAGAAAGGAAAGGGAAAGGTATGTACTCATGCAGCATCCTTCGTATCGAGTCGATGACATCCTTGTAGGAGACATATCAGCCTGACCAGGACCCCACTCGCAAGCCAGCTGTCAAGCCTTGGAGAGCAACAGCAGCAGCAGCAGAAGAGGCAAGGGTTCAACATGTTGCCGCCCAACCACCTGAGGCTCGTGCTGAACATTCTGCTGATCTCCTTGACCAGTGCACGGCCAATGCTCTTGCCTTGAACCAGATATACCATCTTCAGCAGACTATCCGTGCTTTGCAGGCAAAGATAGATGATCTTGAACGTCTACTTAGGCGTTCAAGAGACGAAACATATGCTGCTCAACGTGCTGCCGACCGTGCAGAAACCAAGTTGGATATGCAGAGCATGCTCTTACAGATGTATGGTTATGGATCACGTCTACCTTTTGTTCCCGCTCTCTCCTCCCCCTCTCAGATACCTCACCATCGTTCGTCCCTGGATATGAGTGATACAGTGTGTGAAAGCATGTCATCTTCATCTAGGGCCATTCGCTCATCATCTTCACTTCCTCTTCAGACTCCTGGGGCTGGTCCCTCAGATTCTGCTCCTCATCGCATCCCATGTTCTCGAGAGCCCTCTGACTCTTGAATAGGTTGTCCTCTGAAGTTAGACCTACTACTCTAAAAAAGAATATATAGTAAATTTTATATGTACCTTTGTAATTTGACTACACAAATTCTTAACTAGAGGATAATCGTGCATAAAGGTAGACTACGGGCCACTTGTAACAATCGGGGTTGGAGCGAGTGAGGACAGAGGAGCTGTTGTTGATCGAATCAAGAACTGGTTCACGAGGACCTACATTCAGCTAGCGATCAATATAGTTAAGTCGCGAACACTGTGCTGCGTAGTCGCGGTCAGTATTAGAAACGTTCCAGTGACTTAACATTATTACTTTCCGTGATTGTCGAGATGAAGATCGTTACGTAAAGAAATGATGAGCATCTGCAGTGTTTGAAAATTCTTTGGGTGCCTAATCATCTTTTGCTTTATGTATTGGCAGAAACCAACTACCCTTTCATGATCGAACACAGTCCCTCAATGAGCAAACACCTTAATAGTCACTAACAGACAGTCATTACAATGCCTAATATCTTTCTTCTTGAAAATTGCTTGAAGACCCACAGAAAAGGGTTAGAATTCGTCTTGAACCAGCTGATTGGAAGAATCAGACTCTTGAGATAGTCTCTTATGAGAGATGTGTGGATTCGGCACGTTGTGGGCAGAACGCAGCATATTACATCTAGTTTGAGAACAACGAATCTGCTAGTTAGAAATTTTCTTTTCCCTGTTCCTTAATGATGAATAATGTATTTACTATTATACAAGAAAGCGTTATTTGTCGATTTTTCTTTTTGAACTAATGGTTCTATCACCTTTCTTCCAAGCATTTTCTCATATACATTTACAGTATAAGGGATAAGGATAAGCCTACCTTGCTAATAAGTACGTTGTCGATTTTGGTACTTATATACATGTTATATTAAAATAATATCTCTATGTTGATCGATGGCTACAATACATCGTTCTCCGAGTCTCAACAAGCAAGGAGGTTTGAGAAGAAAGGCTAGTGCTTACCCAATAGAAGATAGTATTGATCAAAATCTTGATCTGTGAGAATAAGACTAGGGCTCGGTCCCGTACCGTATTATACAGATACGGCATTTTCGTATACAGTGCCGTACCGTATCCGTATAAAAAATTTGACTCAAAAATACAGCACGTATTCTACGGGCCGTAACTGTATATAGTCTGTATAATACGGACCGTATACGCCTGTATACAATATACGGCTACTAAATGAAAGAAACTCTTGCTCTAAACATAATACTGAAGCTCTAATAAGTAGTATTCAATGTTCAGACACTTATACTAGCATTTACTAATATATTCAGCACTATTATTGTAAAAGTATGTGCAATCTGATATATATTCCGATATATAGGTACATTACATGACTCGACTTTATGACAAATATCACAGACTAAAATTACATAACAAAATGTCAATAAGTCAAAATTTATACATTTCATGTAGATTAAGGCATAATATAGGTAGAATTCAATATTTCTATACTAAAGAGGTAATATCACAATGATGTAGCCCCTTACATTTCATGCTACACCTTGGTAAATGTAGCAACTACGCTGTATCTGTATATGGTGTATACGTTCCGTATACGGCCGTATTGTATCCGTATAGGTTTTCGGTTCAGAAATACGGCACCGTATTATACGAGCCGTATACGTATAAGGGTCGTATTATACGGCCCGTATCTGTATACAGTACAGTACCGAGCCCTAAATAAGACTTTGCTCCTCAATGTTGGAGCAGAAGGCTCAATCTATGTTTTCATGCTGAGAGGTGAGTGATCTTATGAGCTTCTTTGTAGTGGTACTTGGAAAGGAAATATTTTTGAGACTTGGAAGACCAGTACATTTATTGGATTTACATCGCTGTGTTGAATGTGACATACAAGACTGTGGGTAGCCCTTTGCTATTGTACTATATGACAGAATTATTTAGTTAACAAGAATCATTTTGTAACATTTAGAACAAGATCAACATTGGAAATCCCAAGAAGATAAGATTGGCAAGACAAACGGCCGAAACAATTATAGACGAGACTACATGTGGAGGATCGAGGCTTCCATGATCAAATTCAAAGAGACAATGCCCTCATGCCACGTTCGAGATATTCCATTGCGCTTTTGGCCATTCGTGATTCTCGGATGCCGCACGAGCCCATTTCAGCATGCTGGCATAGAGCACTAAGCACTGTGAACTCCATCTCGCAATTACGCATTGGGCAGTGATATACATCTTGAAGATGACGAGGACTCTTTAAATGTTGGTTAAGGCCGGCTTGCGTTGCGTACTGTCCGTGGCATAGGAAGCACTCGTAGCGTTTGCCGTTCCAAGACAGTTGTGTTGCCAAATAGTTTGGCTCGGATGGAGGGCATTTCTCTCCGTCGGGACCAGTGAGCATACGAGAGGCGTTTGTAATAATGTTCTGTCGGTCCTGCCGTGCGACATACTCGTTCACTGCTTTACGCGTGACTCCGGACGGGCATGCGCCGCTCTCTGCGTGGTGAATCAAGGCAGATGGACAGGTGAATTTTTTTATACATTGGCGTCCTGGACAGGCGAGCCATCTCGGTGTATGAATAGACGATGCTCTGTGAATCCTAAGAGTGTTTTCGGATTGAAACAGGCGATTACACTCGCGACAGTAATGATGCGCGGACTCGCTATGGCACGCATACCCGTTGAACGTAGTGAATATTCTGATACACGGCGAACACGCGAAATGTTCATCTTCTCCGTGCTCGAGAAAGTCGTCCGAGTCGTCGAACAGCAAGTCGCAAGTATCACAATAGAAATGTTTACGTTTGTTATGCTTTCGAAGTGCTGCGGAAGAGGATAAGTCGATGTCGCAGAGACGACAGTAAATACGATGATTTGGAGAGTCCCTTTCATGCTGAGCTAGTGCTCTGTCTTGGGGGAACCGACGGTCGCATCGATAACAGTAGACGGGCATCGTGGTTCGGGGGAAGGCGAGAGAGTTTACGTGAATCGAGTTTTATTCTTGAAGTCATGATAGCTATGTAGCTACTTACTTTAAGTGCGTCCTCAATCTGATCCTGCATGTGTACTTCTGCGAAGATCGTTGTCAATTTCAACCAAACAAATTGAGGATTACACGTGGTGTTAGACGCCTGTCGAAGATGTACTCGAAGGACAGGCAAGAAAGGCAAAGAAATAGCTGGTAGACCCCACACTACTCACTTCAATCAAGCATATAAAGTAAACTGCCCAGATGAGTTGGTGACCAGCTTGCAGATGCGCCACTGCGCGTGTATTTACTATTGCGCATAGTGTACTCCCAAATGAGCGCCTACGAGAAACGACAAAGCATGTCGGCAGCTACTGGTTGGTGGTCCATTTATATCCTGCTCTATTATTGTCAGAGTTTGACTCACAGACGGCCACACTGGTACCAAAGCGCTGTACAGTGTACTTGGGTATGAGCAGGTTATGGGTGAGCATGGGCGTATGCCCATATATGGCAACTCGCAATACCAAGATACACTAACACTCTACAAGAGAGACATGTCTGAGTGTCAAGAATCGTTTCGTGGTATTTGGACTGAAGCGCAAAACCAGGAATCACAAGTAAACAAGATTGGTGGGAAAGACGGCTTAAATGGTTATGGAAGGAATTATGTATGTACTATGGAGAAATAGGAATCCAATTAACAAGTTCAAAAAGACAAGGCCTTCATGCCACGTTCGAGGTATTCCATCGCATTCTGGACTATTCGTGTTTCTCGGATGCCGCACGAGCCCATTTCCACATGCTGGCAAAGAGCACTGAGTACAGTAAACTCCATGGCACAGCTCGTCATTGGACAATGATATAACTTCTGGAGATGACAGGGGCTCTTTAGATGCTGGTTCAGTCCTTCCAGTGTCTTAAACTGGCTACGGCATAAGAAGCACTCGTAACATTTTCCATTCCGCGATAATTCGGTCGCCAGGTATTCAGGTTCGGAGGGAGGGTAGTTAATCCCGTCAAAACCGGTAATCATACGCAAAGGGTTCGTGATGACGTTCTGTCGGTCCTGATTTGCAACGTATTCGTTTACAGCTTTACGCGTGACGCCAGACCGACATCCACCGCTTTCTGCATGCTGAATTAATCCGGAGGGAGTCAAGAACCTCTTTTTACACCGGCGTCCTGGGCAACGCAGCCATCTTGATCCATGAGTCGTCGAACGGTGGTTCGTGAGAGTGCCTTCGGATAGAAATGGAAGATTGCACTCGTGGCAAAAGTAGTGCTTGGACGTGTTATGCTTGATGTAGATCTCGAAGGATGTGAATATACGGGCACAAGGCCAGCATGTGTAATGATCGCTTTCTCCGTGTTCGAGAAAGTCGTCCGAGTCGTCAAACAGAAGGTCGCAAATACGGCAGTAGAAATGTTTGATTTTGATGTGTTCCCTTAGTGCAGCGGACGAGGGGAGGCCAATGTCGCAAATATGGCAACAGTGATGATTAGCAGAGCTGCGTTGACGCTGGACTAAGGCTTTATTGTGAAGGACCCAGCTCCTGCATCGATGACAGTAGGAGGACATTGTGGTTCGATAAAAGGCGAAGGAAGGTGGGTGAACCGACTTTTGTCCTCGTAGTCATGTGACATTGTGAGTTTCATGGCTTCTTGGTAGACATGCTTTCCTTTTTCTGAGGAATGCATGTCTGTTTCCATGAACATTGGAGATGATCTCCGCGAAGCAAATGTTAGACATGCACGTGGTGTTTGACAGTTGAGGATCCACTCGAAGAGCACGTAAGAAAGGCAAAGAAATGGCTAGTAGGACCCAAAGTATTCGTTTCAACCAAGCACATAAAGTAAACGGGCCCAGATGGGTTGGTGACCAGCTTGCAGATGCGCCACTGTGCGTGTTGGGCCTAGTGTGCTCCTAAACGAGCGTATACGAGAAACGACAAAGCATGTCAGCAGCTACCACTTGTACCACCTATATCCTGCTCTATAATTGTCGGAACTTGACTCACCGTCGGCCACGCTGGCACCAAAGCGCTGCACCTGGGTAAGAGCAGGTTATGGGTGAGCATGGGCACATACACACATACGGCAACTCGCGATGCCAAAATAGGCGATCAGACGCGTATCAGTTCTATTACATAATAATCCTACCAAAGAGTTTCCTTTTTACGCCACATTAAGCAGACCGCTGTGTGGCGACTTGGTCCTTTCTCTTTGTGCAAACTCAGGGCCTCTTTGCGCATAAAACAGCCCCCTTCTTTGACACTTCATCAGATAGACACTCCTCGCCCTCTACTTCCACCATCTAGTACAGTTAGTCCCGATTTTTCCTTGATATCAACTACCGTCCCCTTTGACAAAATGATTATCCGTAAGTGAATTTTGCCCTGCAATTCTTACATTAGCTCCCGTTGCTTAGACCTGTTATTACTCCTTTCTCTCTCCTTACCCCCTCATTATCTCCGGGGTTTCTTTAGACCATAAGAATCGCTATAGGCGAGCTCTCTCTGATTCGCAGAAGACCAATCGGATGCTCTCTGGCTCTGGATCTTCCTCCCAGAGCACCGCATTAAATCCCGATTTGGGATCAATCCCAGTTGAGAATTCGACTGGGAGCCATCCTTCTAGGTATACGCGGAAAATAACGCGCCCTGGAGTGAACAACAATCTTGGTTTACCCTCGCCGTGCACGCGCACTAGCGCTTGTACTACCCCGTCAACTGCGACTGCGGCTGAGCTACCTGCGAATAATACTAGTCACAGCTCCCTTAAGCTATCGCTTAAGATCCCACCGCCAGATAAAATAAATACTACTATTGTTGAAGGAACAGCTCATGCAAAGACTAATACCAACAGCTCTGCCACTAGCAGACAAACTGTGGAACTACCGACGCCCATGTCTGCCTCACCGCAGTCATCTATTTTAAATACACCTAATAATGCTCTCAAACTCTCGGGTGTGCAGTCTACTTCGGCGACTCCACAGGACAGAGAAAATACGCCTTTAGGCGCGTCTTATTCAACCCAGGACGCGTCACTTCTCTCACCGCCCGATTCGAATTCAACTACACCTGCATCCTCATCCTCATCATCATTATCCTCGGTCCAGTCGGAACACTCTTCTTATTCGGTTACACACAAATCTCTACCTAGCAACAACGAGCTAAATGGAGCTCTTTCACGCGCTAGGAAGGGGAATTCCGTTGCCTCACAAATAGAAACTCGGGCATCATCTAATTCGTTTCGTCCTGTCGGCCCAGCTCACCTTGAGCACGACTACGCCAAAGCGCGTGAGGAGCTCTCTAACGCCGTCGCGATCTCGGCGTATGAGCTCTTTGGATTCAGTATTCCTGTGCGCAACGCCGAAATGGAGTCAAAGCGTCCCGGAAAGGACCAGATTCCGCAGTTACGCGATCATCCACTTGTGCAAAAAGCGGCACAAGCGTTAGATAAAGCCGATGAGGAGCTCGAGGTTGCTTTGGCGCGGGGAGAGACGTTTGAAAATACACCTATCCCTGATCAGTGGAGATGGGGAAGTGATCTTCTTCGTCCTTACGAGTGGGCACGCCCGGAGCCCGAAGTACAGGAGGAGCCTCCACGAAGGAGAATTAGATCCCGAGCCGAGGTAGTGCAGCCGGTCGAACCACGTACGCGGGCTCAGAAAAAGGGAAAGTCAGATGAGGTTAGTGCGGAAGAACAAGCCGACGTAGAACCTTCGTCAGTTCAGGCAAACATAGGATTCGAAGCGCAGTCTCTCCCAGACTGTGTGCCGTCAAGTGCATCGGATAACATCCAAACACTTTCACACACAAGTCGGTCTACTACGCAGCCCCTGGCAGAGGACCCAGCGACACTTCCAGGATCGTCTTCGATACCTACCGTACCTTTAACTTCTTCCACTGTTGCTTCAACGGTGGTAGAGTTGTCTCAAGGGGAGGCAAAACGGAAATGCGGTCGCCCCCGAAAGAGCCTTCCGGAGCCTATTACCATTCAGACTCAGATAACTCCGGCTGCGTCTACACCATCCCCGTTCCGAATCAAAATTCGGGCACCTATGCCATCGTCCTCCAGAGTTTCAACAGCGCAAGCTTCAGAGACGACTCCACCTCCGACTACTGGTACCACTGGTACCGAATCACTTGCTGCGACAACCGCCCCTCTAAAGCGGAAGAGGGGGAGGCCACGCAAGTATCCTGTGCCAATCACCGAGCAGCAGGAGGGGCTGAGTCCGGTTGTCGAGAGGAAAACTAAAGAACGTCCCTCCAAGCGACGCAAAGTTGGTTCTTCTGAGTCTAGCCGAGCTTAATAGCGTATTCGGTTTTGCATTTCCCTCTGCTCCATCTTTCGGGCTTAGATGACGGAAATGATCTGGATCCCTTTATTTTTCTTTATTTCGATTTACCTTCTTCTACTTCGGATTTTCTCGTCACATTGGCATTCTACCATCACGAAATCATGAAGTATTCCGGTCGCATCGCATCGGCACGCCAAATCACCTAGCAATTTTTTTATTAATAGAGTGGCATCGGTTCATTCGGTACATACTCACCTTGCGCGCATTTGTCGAAGTACATATACTTTACCTTTTTTCTTATCTTTTTTTAGTTATCTGCAATTTTCCTTATTTTGCATCCCTTCGATTACCTCATCTTTACCCTCCAGTTTTTCCCTTAACCCTATTTTATTTTTCTTCGTGAATCGACATGACACGATCTTCACCTTCTTCAAGTAGATAGTTAGCAGCAGTGCATTCATCATCGTTTCGTTTTATCTATCGCATTTTATTTTTCTGCATATATCATCATCGATTTCGGAAGTAGATGACCCTGCTCATCGCATCGCAAATGTATCTGTAAATAGACGTATCTGTAATATAGCAATACAGCTCAATGACAAACTCAGACATTCGTTGAACACTACGAAAATAAAGAACGTACAGGAGGGCGACTAGGGAAAGAAAAATAGGAGTGGTAAGTATAAGGCGGCCCGAGCCTTGGACAAAGTAGATAAGGAGCTTGAGCCTGTGCTGGCTCGTGGGGAGACTTTCGAGAACAGTGCCAGTCCCAGATCAGAGGAGTGGGGCAATAATTATCTTATTAGTCTTCATGAGTCAGCACGCCTCGAGCCTGAAAGTCCAACAGAGCCCTGAGAAAGGAGCATGTCTCAACTGGATAGGGACTGGCACGGTTACCGCTGCAGAAATCCGCAATCCGTACTGCAGATAGAGCCATCTGCGGATGAAATTCCCACGGTAACCACAGAAACCGCAGTTGGACACTTATTAGCACAGTTAAAAAGAAAAGGGTTACTAAATGTGTTTGATGATGTGACTTTAGTCACAAATGTGATGCTTTACACTAATTACATACAAGTCATTGTGAGAACTTGCTACCTTTCAAAGTTAGCTTTGTAGTATTTTGCGGATCTGCAGTAACCGCGGTAACCGTGAGAATTTCATCTGCAGTATGGTATCCGTGGAAATTATCATCTGCAGTGTGAAACCGTGGTAAGCTCTATCCGCGCCAGTCCCTACAACTGGAGGCTGCGCCTCCAGACTTCTACGTGCACGTGCACGTACGAGTACCTACCTCTTCTTTTCCTTTTCTCTCTTTCTCTTCATAGTCGCAAGTGAAAGTTTCTTCTGCAAACCAGAGGACATTGAAGTGGAAGTGGAGAGCGGTCGGAGAGGTCTCATGCGCATAGGACGGGCGAGACGGCCGAGCGGTGAGACGCTAGCCTGGACGGAGGGTTGAGCGAGTGACAAGGGACATGTCGGAGGCATGGACGTCTTGATTGCCTCGAGTGAGGCGACGATGTTTCTTCGGTCGGATGACTTCATTGCGGGCGATCTCGTTCTCTTTTACAATGCTAATTGCCACTGTATGAGAAGAAAGGGATGTGAAAACAATGCGGTGGTGGTGGTCCTTACCGTTCTTTGAAGTCCGGCTCTGCCTCTCCAATTCGCAACTCGGCGCCTTTCCATGTCGCCCCGTTCAAAAGATTCAGGCCTTCTAACAATCGTAAGCCATTAAAACAACGAAATAATTTACGCACTTGAGCAAGCACAAACCTTTCACAAGTATATTATAAATTTGCTTACGAATACTGCAAATTGCCTTATACAGTAATGAACCAATCACATGTGGTTTAGTGGTATGATCGATCGCATGAACCTTGGTGCCTCAATAGGTAATAGAAGTATTTTGTCCTAGCAGCCATGTTCTGACCGGGAATCGCAGCCGTATTGCAATAAACATTGCAGATGATTTCTGCCGAACAAATGAAAGATATACACATGTTGTTTGACACCTGTTAAAGATCTTCTCCAAGTTGGAACTTGGAAGATTCACTTTGGTCAAGCGACTCAAGCCCATGGACACACGGTCCAAGTGTGTCATGCAAGCAAAAAGCAGAATTAAGATCCATGGACATCCTAGTCTAGACTATACCACATGCTCCAGCTCCAGCTGAGTCACTTGTGTGTAGGTTCTATTTATCGTGATTGTCGACGAAGACGAGATAGGATACGACGTCACTGCACCCAGCCCGGTTGAGTTGGTACTAACACTCCAGTGATTTGAGGCACTTTGCCAACCCGGTACTGGAGCATGCAACGGACCGATATGGCATGTTGAAGGTTGGGATCGCGTGTTTGTCGGGTTCATAAGCTTGGATGTGTGTATATTGTCAAATGAACTCACTACTGGCTTGGTACGTTTTGCTGAACATGTGATGTGATGTACTTACTGTACTCACACAAGAGCAGATACCCCTAGTCGGACAAGAGAATTTGATAAGAGTAGAGCAGTTGCTGAAGGATATTACCACGTCGCAGAATCCTTTCGTCGACCTCTCAGTATTGTCGAATTCCATCGAGGATATCATTAAGAATTGTGCCTACGCGAGATACGTTGAGTGGAAGACTGGAGGAGTTCTTGAGTAGAGGACACTCTTGCGCAGAAGTTGGATAGCACAATCTCCATACCCGAGAACGAGAAGCTCTTGTCCAAATCGTCCTCCTCCTCCGTAAGTTCACACCCTTCGACGTGTTCCTTGGTTGCTCTAGCATAGCAAAATCATCGCCTGTTCAACTTCCACTACTGAGGGATGACAAACAGAAACGTGGAGGTCTCGAAAGAACACCCTCAGACCAATTAGTATCCAAACTCAAGTGACTACAGTCATATCCAATATCCAAACCCACCCCGAATCAAAATAGAAGTGCCAATATCATCCTCGTCCATAGTCTCAACTGCACCAACTTTGGTGACGGGACGACCACTATTCACTAGCAACTCCACAGGTACCAAGTCAATTTTAGCGGAAAGCATCCCTGTGAAGCAGAAGAAAAGGAGTCCAAGAAAGTAGAAAGTACTCTATCCCGATCACCAAGCAGCATAGTGAGTTGAGACCTGTTTCTAAGACGAAGACTAAAGCACTTCTTCTGAAACAAAGCAGGATTTAGTTCTGAGTCTGGGTGTGCGTAGTCACGGATAGATGCTGGCTTCTGTCTCCTTTGGGATCTATCTACCTGTATCAATCTGACTCTTTCTAATCCCCTTTATTCTTTCGCAATTTCGTTTTTACCTTCCCTTCCCCTAGGTTTACCTGATTCCGGTCCCTTCGCGCCGGCACGTCGAATCATCTAGCAAATTTTTTAATTAATAGAGCAGCACAATTCCGATCGGTAAAATACTCACTTTGCATACATTTTGACAGTGTGTAAACTTTATTTCTTCACTATCGGCATTTTCTCCCTTTATTCTATTTGCTTTTTTTCCCTTCTTCGGCCAAATAGACACGACAAGATCTACACGTTTCTCCGAGTAGGTAGTTGACAACAGCACATTCATCATCGTAGGATGACTTTCTGCCGCCTTCAACGATCCCTCAGGAGTAGATGTCCATACGTGTCGTATTACATCGCAAAATGTATCATCTGAAAGCAGAAATAGTCGCGTTTGTATCTGTGTTGCTTCAATATAACCCAATGGTATGCTCAGAAATACACGGAATACATGGAAAATCTTAAAGAACGTACGGGAAGCGAAAATGAAAACGAAAATGAAAATGAAAACGGAGGCGGTATAGCAGTATAAATCGCTAAATCGCTAATCATGCTCACCACCTCCACCACCTCCTCCCCTGCGTCTAACACTCTTCACAGCCTCCCGATGTCTCCTCTTCCAATCACGCGTCAACTGGACTTTCCGCGTTTCCCACCTTGTGCGGATCTCTTCTGAGTTTGCGGTACGGAAGAAAGTGAGGGGTTTGGAGAAGATATCGCGAGGGTCGTTTGAATTCAGTTGAAGAGAGGATTGAGAGTGAGGGAGGAGAGAGTGAGGGAAGAAGAATGGGCGGGTAGGGTCGTAGGTGAATGTTGGGTGACGTGAGGTAGAGGTGGTATGTGCTGGTTGTTGATGTGCGGTGGACTCGGGGAGAGGAACGGGAGGGAGTGGAGCCGAGATTTCTGGAAGACCTTCTTCGTCTAGCTCTAGCTCTAGGTCGAGGTTTCCTAGGATGGAGAAGCCAGCTACAAGCGATATCAAAGCTAAGCGACAGAACAGTAATAGATTGAAGGAGTATCTCACCGTCTTCGGGACGAGGAGCGAACATATCTTTCAGCTTCGTTATTTGTACTTGCGCTTGCGCCTGTGCTTTCGATTGAGGTTTCGGCGCTTCTTGTTGAACTTCTCGAACTGGAGAATCTTTTGTAAGTCTGGGCGCTTCTACATCTACATTCTCCATCTCAGCATTCCTTGCGCGCTTATCATTTGATTTCGTGGGCCTTGACGTGCCTTGACGTGGAACGAACTCGATATCATCGTCCATGTCCTGGTGGGTCGCGGGAGGGTGAAGCGCTGATGGCTCCCGCATGCTAATGTCCAAATCGCTAAGGCTCTCCGCCCCGCCCCAGTTATCATTGCTGTCGTAATCTTTGCTACCTGCTTGATCCTCTGTACGTACGCGTCCGGAATCGAAGAGAGAAGACAGCAATGCAAGGGATTGGGCGGTTTCTTGCGCTAGGTCTATCCGAGGCTGGGATTCTCGAGGAGATGGAGGCGGTTCGACGTCGGAATTAACAGCGATAGGATGCAAGATTGCTGGTGATGCATCCGAAGCTGGCAATACAGAGCGAGGCGTAGATGGCAATTGAGATAGTTGATGGTCGGATATCGCAACAGATTGTGCTGCAATCGTCCAACCGTCAACAACAATCGCTGGTGACTCACCTACGTGTACCTCCTCTTGCGCTTTTGTAACAGGCTTTTCCGGTAAGATAACACCACTCCCGCTAGTTCTCGCAAGCATCAACCCGCTCAAATATGTGCTCCCCCAGTCTTCAGGGTTGATAAGCCTTTTTCGGGCACGTACGAGTAACTCCTTTTTCTTCTTCTTTCTCTTCTTCATCGTCGCAAGTGCGAGTTTGTTTTGCGCACCTGAGGAAAGTGAAGTGGAGAGTGGATGGAGAGGTCTCATACGCATAGGACAGACGAGTCGACCGAGTGGTGTGAGACGCCAGCCTGGACGGAGGGACGAGCGAGTGACGAGGGACATGTCGGAGGCATGGATGCCTTGACTGCCTCGAGTGAGGCGACGTTTCTTCCTTGGTGAGGTGCCGTCCTCCTTGTTGGCGATGTCATTCTCTTTTATAATGCTATTTTCATTGTGCAAATTATTACAATGAGGTGCTTTGAGAACAATAAAGGCGGCGGTGGTGCTCCTTACCGTTCTTTGAAATCAGGCTTTGCCTCTCCGATTCGCAACTTGGCGCCTTTCCAAGTCGTACCGCTCAAAAGATTCAGACCTTCTAACAATCATAAGCAAAACAACAAAAAGAAGGAAGGCAAAAGAATAGAATAAAGGGTGAACATACACTTTGCGAACTGCGTCTTTGTCGTCTCAAGCGTGACATAGGCAAAAGGTCTATTTTGTCCCAGAGCGTCGAGTTTACCGAGTCCATCAAGAGCTTTGACACTCCCGAAAGACGAAAATCGTTTTTTGAGGTCGTCAGCTGTGATTTGAGGTGTGAGACCTGAGACGTGTAGTCGTTTCGTTACTACTATCTCTGAGGTGCTCATCGTCGTCGAGAACGGCAAGTAAAAATACTAAGAATATAAGAAGGAAATAGAAAGAGAAAATGGTGAGGGCCGGTCAGGATGAAATGATCCGTCGACGCGTCGAGCGGGCTCCCGACGGCTTGTTGCTCAATGTCCTCAACGTAATAACTCGTTCGTCTTCAACCACCATCTCTTACACTAACGAAGATGTCGGCAACGATGTTAGCTGCTCGTCGAGCAACTCATTCTCGCCTTTTCCGCTCTTTACAACAAATCCAATCTCGTCGCGGGTTCAGATGTACCTCGCGCACTGCACAAGGACAAGAAGAGCAACTCCGGAAAACAAATCTCTACGACTTTCACGTTGAGAATGGGGCCAAGATGGTACCCTTTGCAGGGTATTCGATGCCGTTGTCTTATGGTAGCGTTGGTACAGGTGTGTTATTTTATTCTACATTGCGGTTTAAAAAGTATTGTGTGGTGACAATTTGCAGTGTCTAGTCATCACCACGTCCGAAACTCAGTCGGACTCTTCGACGTCGGACACATGGTTCAATCAAAGTGAGCTCATCGTCATCATACACATTTACTCTATTACTACTATCTAACAAAACTCTGCGCAGCTTCCTGGGCGGCTCCGCAACAGAGTTCCTTGAACACCTCACCCCGTCCTCCCTAAGCATACTCACCCCCTACTCCTCCACCCTCTCCGTCCTCCTCAACGAACAAGGAGGCATAATCGACGACACAATCATCACCAAACACGCCCCAGACGCATTCTACGTCGTCACCAACGCCGGTCGCCGACAGCGCGACCTCACTTGGTTCCGCCAAAAACTCGACGAGTGGAATTCCAGTTCGATAGCAAAAGAAAAAGGTAAAGTCGAGTTGGAGGTACTGGAGAATTGGGGGTTGTTGGCTTTACAGGGCCCCGAGGCTGCTGGGTTACTGCAAGGTTTGACGGCGTATGATTTGAGAGGGTTGACGTTTGGTAGGAGTGCGTTTGTTCCGCTTGAAGGGTTTAACGTGCACGTTGCTCGTGGGGGTTACACGGGAGAAGATGGATTCGAGATCTCTATCCCTCCTTCTCAGACTCTCGAACTTACCAAGCTCCTCTTACGACCACCTGTACAACTCACAGGCCTCGGAGCGCGGGATAGTCTTCGCCTTGAGGCGGGTATGTGTTTATACGGACATGATTTGGATGAAGAGACGAGTCCTGTTGAAGCTGGGTTGACGTGGGTTATTGGGAAGGAGAGGAGAGAGAAGGGAGGGTTTGTTGGTGCTGATGTCGTGAAGAGACATTTGAAGGATGGGCCGCCTAGGAGGAGGGTTGGGTTGACTGTGGAGGGTGCTCCTGCTCGAGGTGCGTTCATTCCATCTTACTGACTATCTCGTACTTTTATTTATAAAATCTCGGTGTTGAATGTTGAATGAACGTAGAGGGCGCACCCATCCACACACCAGACGGCTCCTCCCGCCTCGGAATCGTCACCTCAGGTATCCCATCCCCCTCACTCGGAAAGAACATCGCTATGGGATACGTCACTTCGGGTCATCACAAAAAAGGTACAGAGCTTGCTGTAGAGGTGAGAGGGAAGTTACGGAGAGCAGTGGTTACGCCTATGCCGTTCGTCCAGACGAGGTATTACAGAGGGGAAGAACGTTGAGGATCTAAGAGACAGGAAAAGACGTTTAGTCGTGGTGGAGTTGACGGGACGGGCTGATACTTGGCTATATGCACAGTGGACTAGTTTCACACCCAAACCAGTGCGGTGAACTAACCAACTCATATCCAATTTAATCATACATCTCTACAGGTTGACAAGGTCTCAACACCTCGTCTCCTCTGCTTGTAAATTAGTTCACCCAATGCGTGTCAACATTCAATATCACACAATCAGATATACTAAATGTCATAATGCATAACATCGGGATGACACCAAATCCAAATCCACCATGTGTTTTATACCTCATCACAAAATATATATTTTCGGTTGGAAATCCCAATTTCGTTACAAGGCAGCTCAATAAATACACAATATGATATTATGCATCAATGGCATATTAACTATCTACTATATTCCGATTTAAGGCACATCGTAAGTATGCCAATATGCCAAGTATTCCGCGCCTCAACTTCTCGCATTCCATTTCATAACAGTAATTGGCAAAATCTTCTCTGAACTTTAATATATCCACAACACATGCCGACGAGCCCGAAAAGCCCGACACGGAGTCAATCTCCATCAAGTTTCTGTACAAGCATTTCGAAATGCAGGAGGAATCCGATCTCCTCACGGGGTTCCATAGCACATCTACAATAGATGAATGAAAAAATGGAAGACTGTTATGATTTTTGTGTGCATCATTAATCTTCAAGTCGTGAGTGAGGAAGAGTCGGGAAGACTAGTAGCCTTTTGGTTATTCGAACTCCATACTCATCAGGACTCCATGTGTTTTTCCTGAAGTACGAAAGGAGAGAAGGAGAGAAGGAATAGAACATCAAAAAAATTAGAAGAACTGTCGTGAGTAGGGACTGATAAGTTCGGGTTATTCAGGGACCATAAACGTCACCATACGCATGTGCACCAGCCACTCCGTATGTTCACGAAGAATAAGCTCTCGGCGATCTCGTCTTCCTCAGTAGCAATCCGTTTACCAACTTTTCCGTTTAAATTTTTAATTGCATATAGCTAGAAGTCAGTACATCCGAATCACCTTCTGTAGTGGCATCATCAGATTTAACACCCTATCAGTGTTCCAGGACAAATTCATGGTAATTTATGTGAGAAGAGATCAATCATCAATTGAGTACAAGTAAACAGTGATTTTAGTGATGAAGCGCATGACTCTAAGTCGAAGTTTTGCGGGAGTTGAGGCGACTGTTCCATTTGTTGCGCTTCCAATTACATACAATTGCGAATGCAAGTGTTCGTTCATCTGTCTTTCAAACACCCGTATGCTCTTTTCTATCAGAGCAGAAGGTTCTGTATAATCAGAATGCAAAAGTACAAGATCAGTTTAATTTCCAGACGACATGTTTCTGGTCGAGCTTGAGGCGGCACACTACTGCCAGACAGCCACGGACCAAGAATCCAAGACTGGTTTCTCATGCTTGAACCAAGCCCAAGTTTCCCCTATCCAACTCCACTACGTAGCCATTCACCGCGTCCGTCCTAAAACTCTCACAACTTGTATCATTTCTCAAAACCTTCAGCGCATTCATCCTACTCAGCACCATCTTTGCATCATTGTCTGCGGCATCCACGACTTTGTCAAATTCTTTGGAGCCCATGATCGGTCCGTTCAGTGCGACGAGCTCTGGACCGTACTTCTTGGCAGCCGCTTTATGTTGTTCCTCGTTTGTGGGATCGAAGAGGTGTACGCAAAAGTCAATCATGCTATTTAGAGATGAGTCTGAGAGATGCTCAGCCTCAGAGTCGGCCGTTCCTAGTATAACTACGCATTTCATGAGCTTTTTTTGTAACAAAAAAAATGTGTGAAGGGAAACGAAAACACGTACTGGGTCTGAACAGGGTAAATGCTTTGTCAAAATTGTCTTCGTTAACGTCACCGAGTACGGGCTTGTTCTGCTGCCGGATTTGTTTGTATGCACTAAGGACAACCAGGAGGAATCTAGACTCGAGTAGCAACAATAAGTCTACCAGATATGATTAGACGATCATTTACGAACCTCATTTGAGCTATTCCTAGCTTTGTATCATGCCAACGCTGGGCTGCTTCCTCGCTGATTTGTCCCTTCATAGAGGCACATATAGTACTAGCCGCTGATAGCGCGCCGGTCATAGCAAGATGAACACCGGAAGAGAAGAATGGATCCACGAAGCCTTCCATTACACAGATCAAGGAACGCCCTACGACAAGGTCACAGAATACTCACATGCCGCATCTCCAACGATACGATAATGATCTCCAGAGTAACAACTGGCATGGTAGCTGTAGTCACTGGAAGATTTCACACTACCAGGAACCAAGTTGCCCTTCTCTCCGAGGAGGTCAAGAACACCCGGAAGAAGCTTAAGTTGTTCTAGGTAGTGCTCCGTCAGAGGCGGTGAACCGCCTGGATGCTCAGATTTCTTCTTTTTCGCGATGTCCTGATGCATCACGATACCAATGGATGTGGTCCCGTCATGTAGCGGAATGAGCCAAGCCCAACCTTGTTCGTCTGGATGGAAAAGGGTCAGCCACAATCACCCATCACTAACAGATTAATATCCGTACCGGTCATTGCTTCAAACCACGGTGAGTTCGAGCGCTTCGTTCCCTCTTGGTAAATTCTGGCATTGCGCCAATACCCCCATATCGCAGTATTCCGGAGACCTTCTCGGAATGTACGGTTCTTGAGGTATTTTGTCTCCATAATCCCGTTTCGACCGGAGGCATCTATTAGCCAATCGAACTTGATTTCTCCAGAAGCACCGTTTTTATTAACCCAGGTGGCGCTTATGGGCCGGGAGTTGCTTGGGTCACCTTCGAATTGAATTGAGTCAACACGAGTTTCTTCAAAGACTTGAACGCCCTCTCTAGCAGCATGGCGAAGCATCATTTCGTCAGACTCGGATCTGATCTACGTCAACCCCGTTAGCAATTAGAACTTATGTGAAACGGACCGGTCGGTGCTTACTACGTTCCAAGTAGTACGGCTTGGACCCAATGTGGAAAAGTCGGTGTCTACAACGCCCATATGATCAGTAATTTTGTCAGACGACCTATGTGAAACCCTCACAAGTTTCTCTCATGCCTTGTTTCAGCTTGAAGCAAGCACCCGGCTGGATCGGCATATGTGAGATTTACTACAAGTTGTATGACTGAACGAGATTTACCTTCGGCATAAACCCATGGTTGTGAAATTCTTCCTCTAAACCAATGAAACGAAGATAATGGCGCATTGAAGGTAACATGCCCTCTCCAACATGGTAGCTTTACAGTACTCTTTAGTAAGTTGGACAGGGAAAATTACAATGTGCGAGAATTACCGTGGAAACTTCACAGCCTCAAGGAGAACTACGTCGAATCCCTCCCTCTTCAGCACGGTCGAGGTATAGCTACCTCCTGGACCACCACCTATGACTAGAACAGTGGTATGGGTTGGCTTTACAGATGGAATTTATCAGATTAGTAGCATCAGGTACAACATAGAATGTAGATGGCCACGTACAACAGTTGTTGCGCTCATAGAGAACGAAGGTGGTGAAGCAAGTAGAGAAACTCATTTAGCGCCCAGCTGATCATTTATACGAGATGCACAGTGTATTTAGGTTTGTGGAGGCATCATTTTCTTGTAGTTGCTTAACGGAGAATGCGGAAATTTAGAGTTTCTTTTCCGACCATCAAGAAGTTCTTTAGACACTCGTGTGTCAACGAGATGTGGCTGATTTTCACTCGCCTTGATAAATATGGCGCGTGCTCATCAAACATCAGAGAACGTGAAGTGGTCACTGGTCGTGTCAGTCTCATGCTACACAGGAAGGAATCAGTTGGAGTGTGAATTCTAGGGCACTTCTATTTTCGCAGGTTCAGCACCCGCTGATAGCACTTGTGCATTAAGGAAATAGCGCATCATGGCGGATGGTGGTAATGGTAATGGTGTTGCCCAGCCAAATAAATGAATCCTCCTCAGGCACCTTACGTCATGTTCCTGTCAAGATCACGTGCGAAGTCGTTTTCCCGTCCGTTCTCTTCGGCTAAGTTTCACTTTCATCCATTTTTTAAAATTTGTTTCCGCGTTTTCAAATTCATTTACAGTGCCTTTATTTCTCGTCTGACGACTTGCAACAATCGTGATGCCTATTTTAGCATTCACAGCCAACACAAATTCTTCGGGCTAAGAATGTCTATCGGTTTCAACCAGCTCATTGAACTCGGAGATCCAGACTAGCTCTGCATCCGTTTGCATTGCAACGTCGCAGAAATCATTGAATCACACCGGAGCTAACACGGCTAAAACTGATTGATGATGGACCACCGAGACTCTGATGTGTCGCATTGGCGTGTGCATAACTGCTGAACTGCTGAACTTTCATCATCATAACTCTCAACACTCCACCATGATAACCAGTCACCCTTTTGCATCGTCCAGCATTACGGCAAACAGAGCTTCCGCAGATTGTCTGGCGCTTGACATTATTGTCGTCGGTGCTGGAGTGGCTGGACTTTCTTGTGCTTATACTCTGAGACAGGCGGGCCATAATGTTCTCGTTCTGGAAGCAGGATCTGGGCGGGAAGAGGTTGGATCTTTCCTCTTAATCGTCAGGGTGAACTATGCTAACAGATAATAATCTGGAAAAGAGCTCTGGTGGAATACGGATCCCCCCGAATATGTCTCGCATTTTATTACAATGGGGCTTGGGTCCCGACTTGGATAGAAAGACATTCGGAAGGTGTCCAAAGATCTTATTTCACTCTGGTAAGTTAGCGATCCCTGAGACATACGGGTACTTTGAACCGTGTGTTCGTCCTAGGGCACTTCGGGGATGCGATTGGTGAACTTTTATTCCATGAGAAAGTCATGAAGGAGTTAGAGGCTGAAGTATATCTCTTACATGTAAGTCTTGTCCTAGTAGTGAGGGCTTTCTCTCACAATAGTCCTTTGAAAGCATTCCGATCTTCTGGATATGCTATACAAGTTGGCGAGTGATGCTGGCGCACAGTTCCGTTTCGGGGCATATGTTGTAGACGTTGACCCGAAGACACCGTCTGTGACTCTATCAACGGAAGACAGATTAGAGGCCGATCTGATTATCGGCGCTGATGGCTACCAAAGCATCACTCGATCAGTCCTTCAGCACACTGTCAAGAAAGATGATAATAATTTTGCCAGTTACATGTACGCCAAGCCTAAACCTAGTGTATAAACAGAAACTCAGACCTTTATTACAGGTTTACTGTGCCTACTGAATTATTCAAGGACGATGACGAACTCTTACAGCTTGTGAAAAAGCCCACTGTATGTCTTCTATGCCTAACGATATGCTATAGCTCATTAGTTGTTAAGTGGAATATCTGGATGGGATCCAATTGGGCTATGCTAGGTCATGCTGTAGTACGCCGTCCAGCCTCATTTTAACTAACTAAATCTGACGATGATGATTCTGAAAGCGAAGGAGTAGTGACTTTGCAGTCACACTGTTTAGGAAGGAAGGTGATGCAACCGAGCAGCTAGACTGGAGGCGACGGATACCTGTCCAAGACCTCGACATTGAACAATTCAAATTCGCTCCAATGTATGATATATTTATTTTCTATGTTGGCTAATGTCTAATGCCCCTAAGACCTAAACGCCTCATAACATTAGCTACCAGCACTGTTCGGATTAAAGTCCCCCGGATAGCTTCATTACAATTTTGGTACGATAAGAAAGGTCACGTTGTCGTTGTCGGCGATGCAGCGCACAACTTAAATGTAGGTCCTCCATATCACCTAGTATTGTTTGCGTACCTTGACACTCTCGTTCCGCTTTTAGCCGGGAAGCTCACACAGTGCGGCGTTGGCTGTCGAAGATGCAGTCGTATTAGGAAAGCTCCTGTCAAAGGCGAGGGCTAAGAGCGAAACCAAGCGTTTCCTATCTGCGTTCCAGGAGATCCGCCAAAAACGATGCGAGGCCGTGCGTAGTTCGGAACAACAGAAGGTCGCTTTTGCCGCGATGCCTCCTGGTCCATTGCGGGATGCGCGGGACCAGGAGATGCAATTTCAAATGAGGGGTGGTCATATGGACTGGGCGGACTCTGAAGAAAGTTACCTGAGGAAGTCCTGGGAGGAGTTTCGAGATGTATTTGGGTATGACGCGTTCGACGATGCTGACACCTGGTGGGTAGAATGGGGAGTTCTTTTCGAACGCGTAAATACGAGGAAGCAGTTGAACGGCGATTTATTCAATGGACAGGTTATAGTTGAGCATTCTCGGTACTTGTCTGGGTAGGATTAGTACAGATTCCTTTCCTTTCTTGTATATTTATTCTACTTGGCTTTTATTCTGGACATCTGGAGGAGGGATTGGCTTTTCAGGATATTACATACTGTAGCATTATTATTGAGCTAGCGTATCTCTACAATCATGCCTGGCTGATTCCAAAATACTCAAATACTTCTATTTCTTCATTTATAGTTCTACCATTTAGGAGCAGCGGGGTTAGAACCTAGGAACTGTTTACAGTGGCAAGAATTGCTGTATTTGGAGATATTAATAAATGCGAAAGGCGTTGCATTCATATACGTCGAAGCGAGAGAACTCTCTAAAAAATGGTTGATCACTGGGGAGAGTGAGAAAACAGAAGAAATGTGCCAACAAATCATATGCTGGCACAAAAGTCCTTTAACGAAGAGTTTGCGGACAACAGAATTATAGTTGTACAGATTCTAAGATATCCTGGAAATAGGTGGAATGAATATGTTGCTAACCTCATTAATGCTACTGACAGCCCACTGTAAAGCAAATTCATATATCTAAAAACTGAAATTAGAAATTTCTCTTGTATGGGAAGATCCATTTCATGCTCGACAAAAATGAAGGAGTGCATGAACGTATATTCAATTTTAAACCCGTCTCAGGGTCACCAAACATAGCATATCACTATCAGGATACGCATTCACTCGATGGATTGGCACTTGATCGACCATGTTTTGCTTCCGAAGATCTGTCTCAACTCAACTTAGATCTAGACGCGGAACGAACTGGCACAGGTTACAATCTGAGCACCTCTGCTGTACTTTCCTACCTAATGAAATCTAGGATCACAGCGGTTATAGCATATTGGATGGTAATGATTTTAACTTTCTATTAGGATATTGAAATTAATTGTCTTTTCAGATCAGCTTTGTTACTAGGTCTCACGGGTGCGTATCGATCACGTGCGTCGTAAACGCGTCTTGGTCGCGATTCACTTGGTCGCTCTGTCCGCAGCTCTCATTATTAGTGCTACTAGTACCAGTGCCCCTCATCCCGAGACCCTTCGTCGTGGCACCCGCCTACAATTTATTTTCCCGCATGAAGAACCAAAACAAAATGGACATTCACTAATGCTTTGTATCAGAAATTCGTTGCCGAAAAGCCGATGATTCAGACTCCAGAGGCGCGCGCGTTTCGTTTCTCTATCGAGACTTCAACTGCAACTTGATCTCTGGGACGCTACTTATGATGCTGTATGGGTTGATCATCATGGATAAATCTCCGGATCTATGAATCTTTTGCATTGTTGACTTTGACTAGCAACCACAATGTACAATGCCGCGCAGTTTTATTTCGACAATGACACATTCACTATGATTTCTCTCCGCTAATCACCATTCGAGCGAACTCGTACGTTTTGGACTTACGTCCATCTTCGCGTCTTTGTATGCCCTGGTGTAGAGCCAGGGCCGCAGCGCCTTGTGCTGTTCCTCAAACTCTGCAATAGAATCTTCCATCTGCAGCGTCAATTCAATATTATCTAGACCATTCAGCATGCAATACCTCCGGAAGGGATCTATGCTGAATGCAACCGGCGGTTGGCCGTTCGGTCTCCTTATTTCGTTCTTTTCGAGATCAACTTCAAGTTCCGCACCCGTTTCTGCATCGCTGGCAAGAGAAGTACAAATCTGCTTCGGGAGCTGGATTGCAAGCATGCCATTCTGCAACGTGTTATTCCGGAAAATATCTGCGAAGCTTGGAGCGATGATGCAACGGATCCCGAACACTTTCAGAGCCCAAGGTGCGTTCTCGCGGCTGCTACTACATCCAAAGTTCTCACCAGTGCACACAAGGATCTTTGCCTTGTTGAATGGTGGACAGTTTAGTACGAAATCGGTGAGCCTACCCGTTGCCGGATCCTTTCGAAGTAATTCAAACAATGCGTCGCCGAGGATACTGTGGTCGGATATCTTCACGTATTGCTTTGGGATGATGAGCTCTGTATCGACGTTCTCCATATCCAGACGTGCTGCTACTCCCCTCAAGACGGTGAACCTGAGGTCATTCATGACTGTTGTCTCAGGTCTATCGGTACGGGATGCAACAGCGTTCAAAACGGGCTCTGGAAGAACGGGTCCAGGGCCCGTCCAGAATGTCAATGCATTAACTTCCTTGATGTCTACTGTGTTCTTGCTCGAATTGGGCCCAAGGAATTTGCGAACATCGGTTAGATAACCGGTCATCGCCGCCGCGGCTGCCATTGCAGGACTGAGCAAATGAGTACGTCCTCCGGGACCTTGCCTACCCTCAACGTTACGGTTACTGGTGCTAGCACAACGCTCCTGAGGTCTGAGTTGGTCGGGATTCACACCTACACACATCGAACAACCAGCTTCACGCCAGTCGAATCCTGCACGTTTGAAGATTATATCCAGCCCTTCCGCTTCAGCCTGACGTTTAATCATACCGGAACCTGGAACCACCATCGCATAAACGTGAAGTGCGACCTTCGCGTCTGGACCCGTCCCTAGAACAATCTTTGCTGCTGAACGCAAATCCTCGATCCGTGAGTTTGTGCATGACCCGATGAAGACCTTGTCGACCCTGATCTCCGTCATTGGAGTATTAGGTGTCAACCCCATGTACCGCATTGAATTCTCGATTGATCTCCGTCTCGCGGGATCCTCGATATCAGCAGGGTCGGGTACTTTACCCGTAATGGGTACGACGTCCTGAGGTGACGTCCCCCACGTCACTGTCGGGATGATATCCTGTGCGTCAATTCGGACTTCCTTGTCGAAAACCGCACCCTCGTCTGTCTTCATAGTTCTCCAATATTCCACTGCACGGTCCCACATGTCACCTTTCGGAGCAAACGGCCTTCCCTTCAGGTATTCGAAAGTGACATCGTCAGGTGCAATCATCCCAGCTCTTGCACCCGCCTCGATGCTCATATTGCACACGCTCATACGAGCTTCCATGCTGAGTCCTCGGAAGACTGAGCCAGCATATTCGATAACGCAGCCCGTTCCGCCAGCAATGCCAATCACACCAATAATATGCAAGATCACATCTTTGGAAGTAACACCTTCGTGCAAGTCTCCGTCCACAATTATACGCATGTTCTTGCTCTTTCTTTGGAGAATTGTCTGTGTTGCAAGGACATGCTCGACTTCTGTTGCTCCGATTCCGAAAGCGAGCGCACCGAATGCTCCGTGTGCTGTGACAATGTTGAGTTAACGTAATTGGATCCGGTCTCTTGGACTTACTGGATGTATGCGAGTCTCCACATACACAGGTAACTCCGGGAAGTGTAAATCCTTGCTCGGGTCCAACAATATGCACGATACCTATGACAAATCAATAATCGTTACGAACTCTATTCAAAGATGTCCGACCTTGTCTGCGATCCTGAAGCCCGAAGAAATTGACACCAAAGTCCCTCACGTTCTTCTCCATATCAATACACTGAACCTTCGAATCCGGATCAGTGATATACTCGTCTATACTAGAGAAGTGCATTCTTGGGTTGGTCCTAATCGAAGGGACTTAGAATGAAACAAATGAATAACCATTACTGATATTTACGGAACGTTATGGTCCATCGTTGCCAGAGTCATCTCCCTTCGACGAATGGTTCGGCCCGACTGTCGTCTAAATCTTGGATTATTTCCTTTGACAAAATGCAAATAGCCTCTGGACTCACAGCCCCGAAAATGCTTTCTGGCTGCTCATTTCATGTAGCAAATGTCTGAGACAAGAGTAAGTGCAATTCTTGCAAGGAAAATGCTGTCAGCAAAGACCTGTCGACGTAGAGAATGGCCACGCCATCCTCCTGTACATTCCTACAGGGCGGTATGACCTTTCTATAATATTTACAAGTTGATGCTGATTCGCTTACACGATATGTTCGTCCCAGATTTTGTCGTACAGCGTTCTCGGACGTTGGGTTGGGATGGACATTTGCTAATGAAGTTGATCGGTTGGAGGGCTCACCAAAGTACGAAATCGTGGCACAGGGCACACTGTGAGACTTGTAGCCCTATGCACGCACAAAGTATCAATGCCGAACCTGAACTCGCTATAGATTATGAATAGACATGGGAGTGCACGCGCTAAGTTAAGCGTGCCGGGTCCGGGTAGGTCGAGTTCTGGACATGCAAATAGACTGTAACTATTTTTAACCGACTGGTCGTGGGCATGCAGTTCAGTGAATGATAATTCCAATGAAAATATAATTATTACAGTGATTGCATGATAATCTACGGTTTCAGTGAGCTCATGGGCCTTATAATTCCGTTAAATCACAGGTAACAAGTTGGTTACTAATTGGAGCCAGAGAATCAGAAAAATTGCACGACCGGAGTTAAGACAGAGTGGCTTGGAGTGTATCATGAAATTCCACACGGAATAGATTTACCAACCGAAGTTTTCGACAACTTTTCTCAACTCTCTTGAGGAGGTTCCGCCCTCCTTCCATTCTTCTGAGAACTTCTGTTGGAACCATTTCGCCTTCTTACGCTTTTTCAGTCCATCCTCCCCGTAAGCCAGCTCCAAAGCGACGATGATTTCTCGTCGGATGGCTTCAAGGGTGCCTTCGGGTGCCCTTCCCTTAAGCCGATAAAGTGGGCGCAACCCCGGGCCATCGCGGACTTCGAGTAATTCATATCCTACGTTATGCACCAAGGAAACGAGCATTGCATTAAAAGGCTGATCCCCAAAATATGGCCAACAAATGCTGTTTAAGCCCACGGACAAATCAGCGTGATTAATATTGTAAAATGAAGGCACTACGAACAGTGGGACTCCCGCCATTAAGGATTCCAGGGTCGAGTTTTGGCCGCAATGCGACATGAACCAGCCACAAGCCTGTGAAGTCCGCTGAGGAAGTTATCCAGGGAATGAAGACTCGGAAATACCTCGTGGGTTAGAACTTGCTGGGGGATCCAGTTCGCCATGTATCCGAGCCCAGAAGTTCTCACTCTCGCCGAAACTGGTTCCGGGACGACCGCTAAGGGAGAAGCATGGCTAAAGATCTTCAGGGTACAGGAACAAATGATAAAAGTGATTAACACTGGCACTGACAGATGCGGGGCAAAACACCTACGAAAGGAATTCTCTTCTCGATCAAGACATCAATGATAGTCCATATTTTCTCCGGGTTTCTCGGCCAAAATACTGTACCAAATGAAATCTAGACAATCAAATTGAGAGTCATACAGTCGCGTGGTATTTCACATGGCAACACTCACATAAATAACTGAACACGGTCCATAATTGTGAAGGGACTCGTTTAGGAAGGCGTCGACTTCGTTTGCGACAATAGAATCCTTGGGGCTCAACGCTACGGATCGTTCACCCTCAGGTGACGGAAGTGGCCCAATGACCGAGAACGGTCGGAAGCCGATCCACCGTTGCAACTGGTCCAAAGCAGCAGGCTCATAAAGCCTATTACTGTTATTTATCACGCCATCGCATTCGGAGAGGAATCTTCGAGAAGTTAGAATAAGTTGCAGTGACGAACGAGGAAGTCTTACTTGTGGGCATATTGAAACCAGGTCGCGATGTCGGCTATTTTTGCTCCTGGAGGTAATGCTTGCTATATGGTTCACACGCATTAGTAGACCAGTTCAGTCGGGAGTTAACGGGACGCGCACAATTTGAGGAACATGCTCGTAGTGATACATGGGCGGCAAGCCGGGTATTTGAATGAGCTCATTTTTAAATCCAAAATATCTCTTCGCGATCAACAGTCAATTTTCGAATCTCAATAATGGATTGGCACCAAATTACCGATTCAATCTCTTCAGCTCGGACTACCTTGTCCTCTACCTGAACTTGGCCAAATTTTTCTGCAAGGTCACCCTTACCACCCATGTTTTCCGGACCGAACAGGAACAGAATAGCAGAAACAGCACCGTATTGCAGAGCATAAATGGGGACGGATGACCCGCTGACAGCGCGTATCCCGATAAAAGCGTCATACGAGAGAAACTTGATGCTGTTAGCTCCCTTGTTCTTGGAAATATATATAGGAACTCACATCGATTACAACAAGTTCTGGAGCAGGAATGGAGTCATATATAAAGTTGCTGCTTTCTAAGGCACGAATGGGTTCTTCTTTGAGCAGGACCTCGTATCCTCTGATAAACCCTTGCTCATATATTTGAAATTGGAACGGTTCGGAAGAACATGGCAGACCAACGACCCTTTCACAGATTTAGACACAGGGTAGCGCACTCGGAGAAGGAATCAAAGTCGGCTCACCTGACCAGATCTCTGAGCTCGTTCTCATCTCCAGGACGAAAGTGCCGGGCCACCTCGGCGATAACTTTGTCGAATAGAGTAACTTCTATGAACAACGTGGCGTGCAAGCGGGTTCTACGACTATTCTGAACGAGTTTTGCGATCAAAGCCACAAGAGGCTTCGCATGACCTATGAATATATATCCCTTAGCAATCGTGCCAATATGCCAATTATGAGGAAAGTAGAACAGACCCCAAAACGGTAGAGCAAAGGCTACAACGTGGCCTCGTGTTTTCCTGGACGTACCGTTCATCGTCAAGGTAAGGAGGGAAAATAGATTCGGCACGCTTATAAGGCAAAATGGTCGTTCACCATCGACCGCGGCGAGGTGTCAGATCAAACTTTCGCATAATGGCAAGTGTTGTACACCCTGTCTTATGGCCGATCAACGCATTGAACTTTGTCGCGCATTATTATTCCCGCCAGATGTATAACAGACTTATTAAGTCCAGTCGAGAGTCACTAGATCGAGACAAGATCTGGTGGAGACGCAACCTGACTCGACTAATCAAGTCGCCGCATTATCGAGCGAATGGAAGAGTATTGCTACAAACCGACAGGCAGATTAGTCCCACAAAGTATGAAAGCACTCTATGCCAGGGTCGCTGAGCGCTCTGAAATACAGTGTGCTTCTAAGCCTTTTCACTGTGCACCTGGATACGATAAACGGTGACAGTAGACCGGAAACTAATCTTATTGTAAAGTCACTTAACAAGACATGCAGAGATGGAAGTAAGCTTACCCGTCTGTTGTGGCATCAGGTCGGTTGCGTGTCCAAGTTCTTTAATTAGGTCAAGGTAGTAGATAGATCTCTCTTTGTCACTACTGTAAAGCTTCCGTGATTAAACATTCCCATCAACCCATGAATATCGGGAAAATTCGAGTTTTCGCGATCATTGAATCAGCGCTCATGGCGGACCTGACGAAAGTTGCTTGTGGGGAGAACAAAGAGAACTCGTTTGTTGGTACTTATTTGTATCTTACGTAATTCTTATTTGACTTCCGAATCCGACCCGTTATCCCAATCGCAAAAACTCTGGAGAGAGCGTGCAGGATCAAGTCATCTGGCTTAATCACTAAATCATCGTAACAGAGCACATTTTCAACAGTTGACGGGTCGAAGACAGTGACTAGTCTAGATCAGTCGAGGTTAAATTTTCTCCTGCAACCGCAACCAGGTACAGGGCCAACCAGTGGAATACAAGTTACACAACGTAGGCTCAATTCAGTTTGACTTATAGCCGTATGTCGAATGATGCGATGCACAGCGGGCCATCCGGATTTCACTTTTGGATGCAACTTTCCTCAGTATGCAATCTGGAACTAAAAGCAAATATCGCTTACAGGTACAGACAAACTGCTCTCGGGAACGGAGGGTATGACGGAGCTGACGCCGATTAAGATGATCAACCTTCAAATTACCTTGACGAGGTGGTGTCGGTCAACGGACCATCGGTGAGCTCGGATCACTTGATAGTTCTAGAGGTATGAATCATGTCCGTCTGAGCCCGGAAGACTCAATCAAATGTTTCGTCGGAAGATGTCCTTGCAACATAGCTAGACTTTCTTCGTTCCTTCATAAGACACATTTACTCCTCACAAGAGCAAGGAGGCCAATAACAGTCCTATGGCTAAGACATTCTTTGACAGTTTATATTATTACTCTCTGCAGGCCCTCACAGGTTCTACGGAACGAAGCTTATTTACGCGGTATTGATCGATTTACCTTTGCACCTCAATGGAAACGACACAAATGTTTCCCGATCAAATGGAAGACAGTGGTAGTAGCTGATCCTGGCGTACGCGCCTCATTTGAACGCTTCGACTTGGCAAGTCTGACTATGCATATGCGTTAATCTATTACGATATTCAAGAGTGAGCCAGGATCATTTCTGACCCTTCCTGTTTGCAAAATGTTTAAAGCGGCCGCGCCTGGTTCTCAGCTCGCAAGACCCAACCTCCGTCCTGCTTGCTATCATGGAGCATACGGCGTCTGATACCTCTGTTGATAGTACTGTGAGTGGGTTCAAGGCATACTTGTACATTCTAGGCTTACGGCTTGCTTAGTATGGGTGTCTATTCCTTGCTGGAATGTATGTCGTTATGATGCATCTTGGGCATAGATCTGATTATTCTACTTTCAGATTTTCTTCCGTGTACGTTTTAAACTCTGAGTCCATATACTTGCTGCCAGGTAGAATGCTTATCCTGCTCCTCTTAGTCTGTGGGGAGGCTGTTGTCTTCAACTGTATTACTACTATGAGGCAAGGTTCCGATTCGGCATGCCGAAAGGTAAACTGACGAGTTTCTCTTGCCTCAGAAATATTGGAAGACAGAGAAGCTCTGGCTCAAGTTGTACACCCTTGTTGTATGGATACTCGATGTAGTTCATCAAATCCTTCTAATGAAGGCATTGTACATGTACTTTGTGAAGGAGTTTGGTAACTTTGAGTTTATAACTCGCCCACAACAGTGCGTCGTATATCATTCATATCAGGAAAAATAATTGACGCACCGGATTTTACAGTCTTATCTTTGATGAGGCTCCAATCTCTGCAGTAATCAACGCAATGGTGCAGAGCATCTTCGTCGCTCGCGTGTGGCACTGTAAGTAATACAGAACGTTCTTAAGAGTATAAATACTGACTTCTGTTCAGTGAGCAACAAGAGCAAATTGTTGACTGCCTTTCTGATAATTCTCATAGCAGCCCAGTTTACGATCACGTTGGTCTACTTTGGACAAATTTACAACTTTACCGATTTTGCACAACTCTTCTCCGTCTTAAACACCGAGCGTGCTATGAATGCACAAGTCGTTGTTACTGACACCTGTATCGCTACCTCATTAATCGTTCTTCTGTGGAGAAGCCGATCCGGATTCAGGAGGACAGATTCGATTATTAATCGGCTTGTCATGTACACGATCAGCACAGGGCTACTAACCAGTCTTGTCGGCGTTGTTGGTCTGGTCGGTGCACAAGTACAACCCGCTTCCCTTATTTATCTGCTCGCAGATCTCATTATGCCGAAAAGTATGTCATTTTTGCACTTGTTCTACAGGCCCACTTATATACTCTTGGTAGCTTATGTCAATAGCTTGCTTGCTACGTTCGTTAGCCCTGTATGGATATTACTCGATTTTCGCTAAAGACTTAAATCAGTTTGAACGCTCGCTCAGGTCTTCGCAACCGACTTACTGAAGACCAAGGTCTCCAGAGTATACACTTGGAAAATCTTGCTTCTATTCGCAACGGCTCTTCTATTAACTCAAATGTTGGATCCCGCAAGGTGAGAGCACGTTTCAACCATATGTTGATAGCTTGGGTAACAAATACGACTTTCAGATCTCACGATCGCGAGGGATTGAGTGCAGAGTAGAAATTGACGTGAGTTCATCGTCCCAGAAACCAAAGGGGATTCTCCAGAGTTCTTTAATTGTCCTGCAAAAGAATTTCGTCTGATACTTTTTTCCTGGTAGGGCTTGGAGGGAACGTCGTCCAAGCCTGACTTCGGTGCGAGTGCAAGTGGTCCTGAAGCTGTCTGATGTTCTATTAGCAATAAGTTAGACAGTTGCTTTGTTGTATATAATCTAGCCAAACAGAAGAGTCAAAATACCGTTTTGTTGGGCAGTGACCGATCGGGTTTACATATCAAAAACAGTTCTGTGTAGTTAAACTTTAACATGAGCTTCTGTTGTTGCTGTCAGTCCGTTGGGATAAGCAACAAGGAGAATTTCAGATATAACCAAAACATTATTTATATGCCAATTCTGGATTCTGTTAGTTTAATTTCTGTCCCCTTCTACAGCATGCCCTACTAGACTGCACCACAATAGTCACAGCATAGGCGTCATAATGAGAGAAAAGAGAAACTAGCCATACAACTGCCGCATTCACACTCGATCACTAACTTTCCATAAATCATTGGCCTGATTCTCGTAATCAGTCGACTCAGACTTTTCTTGACTATGTCTGCTTGTCTCTAATTCTCCCGCTTGCGATGCGAAAATCTCTTCCCTATGAAAAGCCTGAGTCATTTATTGCCGTACATTTCGATTGCTCACTCACACTCGTGTCAAGGCACTCGTGTTGGTGTTGATATGGAATACCATCGGCGGTACAGAATTTCGTACCCCGACGGCAGAGCCACTTGTACTTTTTTGGAGAATTCGTAATCCCGGACGTCCAGCAACCAATGACAGTCTTTTCCAGTAGTCAGTCCACATCGCTTTGGTAAACCCGAAGAAGACGAAAAACACAAGAGCATTGAAGACGGTGATCCAGCTATCCCATTGCACAAGGATTATCTCGTTCCTCCCGAGTTCTGCCTGTGGGATCTGCCAAATAGCCGAGAATCCCCAATGTGCGTCTGCTAAACCTTTCCAAGGAAATATTCCGTGGTCGACGTTCATGACGAATATGTAGATACTGCACGGCAGTGTAAAAAGACACTCCGCGCATGCCAATGCGATTACCGTACGGAAGTGATCAAGCGAGATTTCCGGGTTTACTTTTGTGACCTCACGTAGAGCATTCCTGCGCCGTATAAGTGTACGGAGGATCAAACCTTCAATATGCGGTGGAAATGTCTTATTTCGTGTGATAGGGGACATGCAGAGTCTGCTACACTCACAACTGTAAAATGCAGCTAGGATTGCAAAGAGAAGAAGCCATCCTTCGTATAGTGCTATGTAGAGTGGTGTTATGTAGTATGCAAAGAAACAACCAAGGCCCTCGATAATGGAAAAGCGGTGTCCTTGAATGAACCATGCTGAGATATGCCTTGAGATTATTCCAGAAGAGAAAAGAATCGGATAATAAAACGTACAGAGTGCAACGGATAATACAGGAATCCCAATGGACACAAAGAGATCAAATAGTCTCGCCTTTCTCTTCTGCAGGAAGATTGAGTCCGTGTTCGAATTAACGATGGTGAAGCAAGCTTACGTCAATCACCGACGAGGCATTTCGCATGTTTACTATAAGAAATAGGCGTCTTGCCATCACGAAGTTCGTGGTAACGATCGCAAGACTCCCAGCATGGAAAATTCTGACGGCTAGAACAGCGTCTCAACTCGTATTAAATGGACAAGAGCTAATGAAAATTGCTTACTGATATCGCACCACGCGACGGCCGTGATTTGCGCATTGTCTGCCCATATAATGGTATTTACCCCGGTAATGAAGCAAAGTAGAGCGGACCAGACAGAATGTGTCCATGCTCCGGTGTTCCAATGCTGGAGGAGCCACGGTAAAGGAATTAAGACGATGATGAAGGACAGGAAGTTGGCGATTGGAACGAGGGGGTAAGCGTAAGTAACCTGCATGTTACGACAGATAAGAAGTCAATATGAATTTCGGTGCGGTCACTGGCAGGACGGTCTCGAGGGCATTCAGGAATTGCTCCACGTCAAAATATTGACGATTTTCTCGCGAGCTCAGAGACTGAGCAGCCTTAAGGAAGAAGATACGGTTTAAAGGAGTGAGAGATGTCGAGAAAGCCGAGTAGTGCGTGTTCTCAGCTCTGTCCGTCTGGATTCTGAGGCGCCTAAAGTACAACGAAAAGTCGCAATCACTTTAAGCGAGACAAATTAATGCCCGATCAGGCACGACTTTATCTCGTAGCACATATCCCTATCAGGCAGGCCTTGATCTTCTAGATAAAACATTGGTCGCCGTGTCAAGCATTGAATATGTAAGCAAAAATGTCTTTCGAGGAGACGGAGCAACTGCTAAGGTGTACACTTCCCACATAATACAATCCAGATTCCGTATAGCGACCTTTGGTCATAGGTGATGTTAACAACAAGAATATGACTCATATCAGCGTCTTGAATTAACAGCGCAGGATGACCCTGCCAGAAAGACCCTAGAGTCGGATTGTACGATGACAGGAACAACCAGAAGTGCGACGCACTGCAGATTTCTTTCACAGGAGGGAAGAACAGAGTCAACAGACTGAAAAGCTGACAGCAACTACTGGGGCACATGACGCGCATCGCTACCGTACTTATTTGGCAAGATCAGTTTAGTCAAGATAGACATTACACAAACAATGAACCCTCTGCAACCAGTTAGATATCTCTATTTTCTTGAATTCTCTATATATCATCACACCAACTGCGCCGACATATTTTCCCCACAAATAAAAAAATACAGATTCTGTGTAAAAATATAGTGGACCAATAAATTAATACCAGCCACTTCCACAGGAGGGAAAGTGGGTTTGACTCGAATACACAGTTCTTCGCCTTTGTATTACTCATGCAGGTGCTCTTCCTGATTCGACACATTCTCCTCGAAGTCTGCAAATCGCGACGTACGTGTGTTTTCCCTGTTATACGTTTCAGCGAGTGATATTGAACAATCTCTCATACTGTACTTACGTTTGAGCCATGGAACTTTGATCACTCGATGGTACATTAAAGGCCATTTCCGGGGCAGTATTATTCGTTTCCTTTTCTGTTCCCTTTTGGGTGATCTCTGCGGGCAATCGAATACCAAGATGGTTCATGGAAATTATAAACCGCTTCCAATAGCTGGCCCACATTGTCTTCGAAACACCGTAGAAAAGGAAGAATACAACAGCACTGAACACATTGACCCATCTATCCCATTGGAGCATTATGATGTCGTCTCTTGTGAACTTGGATATTGGGTGTAGTAAAATTGTCGAAATATCCTTGTGATCGTCTGGGAGACCTTTCCACGAAAAAAAACCGTGGTCCATGTTCCGAATGATGTTCGTGGTGAATTTATAGATTATACATGGGAGTGTTATAAAACACTGCCCGCACCCGAGAGCGATCACTTTGGGATACTGATCCAAGGAAACATCAGGGTCCAATTGAGTGACCTCACGTACGGCATTACTACGACGTATGAGAGCTCGGAAAATAAAGCCTGCAAGCAGTGTGGAGAAGATAATTATTCTCCGGACATAAACTCTTTTTTGCAACCTACATGCATATACCGCAGAAACAGCTGGAAAGACGAGAAGCCAGCCTTCGTACAGTGCTATACTGAGCGGCATATTGTAATACGCAAAGGCACATCCTAATCCTTCGGTAATGGTAAAACGATGACTCTGAATGAACCATGCTAAATCGCGTGTGTAAATGCATTTTGGAAGCAATTGAAGAATCATTACAGTGAACTGTTGCAAAATGAAACATACAGAGCACGACCGATATCACTGGAACTACAATGCAAAAGAAGAGATCAAACAACTTTGCACGTTGTTTCTAAGCGACCACATTAATAAGTGTCAGATAAAGCGGAGGGCTGAACATACTTGGGACGGTGATAATAGATTATGGTTCTGCACTATAATGCATACACGCCTTGTCATTGCAAAGAGTGTCGTTAAGTTTGCGAGAACAGCCGCGTGACTAACTCTGACAGCTAGAGACGATGATATACATGAAACGAATTTGGGAAACGGTGTACACTCACTAATATCGCACCAAATAACAGCAGTGATGCTGACGTTGTCAGCCCATATAATGGTGTTTGCTCCGGTGATGACGCATAACAATGCCAACCATACGGAACGTGTACAAGCAGCTATGTTACATTTCTGGAGAAGCCAAGGCAAGGGGATCAAGGCTAGGAAGAAGGAAATAAAGTTGGCAACAGGGACGAGAGGATATGCGTATGTCACCCGCATAAGGATATAGTGAACGAAAGGACCGTTTGACTTCAATGACCGACAGTAATTGGGAACACTATTGAAATGTGCACTTAGCGCTCTTTTATATATGGGGCACTGGAAGAACGCTATGTTATGCACGGCCGTCTTCCGGACGATCGCTACGCACATCTGCTTTCGTTCTATGTTTTGGTGTTCCTCGGACATCGTACCCGGAACAAGCCAATGTGCGGACCGACCTAGGCGGAGCATGAGACGGTTGGCACTAATACAGTGTGACTTGATACCATCGAATAGATTTGGGGAAGAGTCTACTCAGATCGAGACTCTGCTTTGCACCATGGTATTGGTACGAGAGTATGTACTGACGGATGAGAGCGCTCCCAATCCGGACACGACGAGGTTAGTTTGATTCGCGATGCGCTTGAATGCAAATTGAGAAACGGCGTCCAAAGCTAGAATCAGATACGTCGAAAGCTGAACTGGAGGGGAACGATTTGGTTTGATTCTTGCAGGGGAACTGTGCGCACTATTATGACGTATCCCGAACGTGCATTCGGACATAGCCTACCTGAAGTCGATTAGTATCTGTCATGCGAATCCAACCGGAGGACTCACCGTCTAGATCCGATGGAAAATGATCCAAGAGTATCAAAAGCAGACAACGTGGTCGATATCACTTGTAGTAGTTGTATTCCACTTACAGCAAATGTATCATGACGTCACGAAGGATACAATCCGGTACAAGAGGCGAAGATAGCAGTTCGGAAATCAGGTAACTCAGACTTGCATAAATAATACAACGACCGTCGTCCTGTACAAGTACACATCAAAGGAAGCCACCAAGCCAAAGATTAACAGCTCGGAAACGAAGTATATCAGTGTCGAGCAAATTACAATGACTGCCGTCAGTGTATGAAACCGTCAAGCAAGACACTATGTCCGCGGCTGCGTAGAAGTTGAATTAGGTTCTGCAACAGGATTGCCTGCTGCGGCGTCCGGAGTCCGCATTGCATCGGCGGGTGCTGGCTGATTTGTAACGATTTCTCCAATTTCCTCACGAGGAAATTCTTCTTCCTGTTGAGATCGCTTTCCCGCCTTCTTCTGCTGCCTCTCACGCTCTTTGCGTTGTGCACGATCAAAGTCGTCCTCGTCATCGCCATCGTCGAAACAGGAGCCGCAGCAGCCCCGTGGGCCTCCACATGGCGCGGAAGTCGGAGATCCTGCACCGTAATTTCCTGGATATCGCAAAAAGAATTTAAAAAAAGGAAAAAGAAGGAAACGTCTCCTGTCAAGTGATAGCAGCCAGACTGTCACGCACTCTGGTAACAAAATGTGGAAATTGCTACAACGCAGCAAGTGCCTATGCAATTTGAATGGAGTTAAACGTAGCAAACAAAGCCATACATCAAGTAGAGGACGGAATGAAGTCAACCAGGGAATAACTGATAAAGAGGCATTAATATTGACGACATACATATGCCCGCGTCAGTTGCCGCTGCACCAGAATACGCCATCACCTTGAATTCACAGAGGCTTATCTGACCGCACAGTATAGAACCGAGGTGACAGTTCGCAGACAAGGATTAATTTTATAAGTAGGAAAGGAGCTGGAGCCAGACATGGAAGACAAGTGGGGTGTCTGTCGACTTGTGTCAGGTCACAGGTGTACATTGATTGACCCCAGCCAACTGTCGATCATCCAGATTAAGGCGTAATGACGTAACGCGTCCACTCCACTCAATGTGAAAACAATGCAAATATAATGGGTCAATTTATTGTAATAGAGTGGTGTAGACATGCTTTTAAAACGGTAAACGAAGTTGAATTCTTTACAGTCCCGCCTGCAAGAACTGGTATACAGTGTACAGGGTGGTACTAAGCAGTCCTATAAGTAAATTAATAATTATATTAGTAAATCACGGAATGGATGACAGCAGTCGTTTACTGACCAAGTTGGCTGAAACTGCCCAAGACACCGCCTCTGGTGTTGCGCTATACAAAACGGATTAAGACTTTTGTACCTCGAACTACCAATAACGATTATCCACACGTACCTTATTTGGATCGCCAGTAGAATAGCCGATCGTATACAAAACTTTACCTATAACCCAGGCGCCGCCGAGAGCAGCAGCGAGGTGCGGGTATTTCAAGCCTGTGACAAGCACGCTGTTATAGAGGATAATGAGAAAATTCCTCTTGCTTAATTGAAACTAGTTTACCTGAGGATGACATGAGGGACGCTCTCGAGAGTGTTCTGGTGTGCGCCTTTATCGAATAGATAAGTGATTATTTATCGGCGAGCTTCATTTCATACTTACGTTGTGCGCAGTTAAAACGATAGGCAGCAGGGGATGACGCAGCCTCTGCTTTTTCGGCATATGCTGATTTGAAATTTTGGATCAGTAATCGACATTAAATTTATTCATCACGATATGGAATTAACCTTGTGGGTATGGCACCTTTGCGGCCTTGCGCGCTCTACCGACGTTGATGGTCTGGTATGCATTAAGCACTATTGTCGATGCTGCTGCTGCGAGCACGTAGGAATAACTATAGTATAAAAATAAGGTTTGCGCCACAAGCAAAGGCGAAACAAAGCGTGCTGACGTACCCTTGAGGCACATCAATGGACGGCATGGCTATTGGATGTACTGTAACTGAGAGAAAATCGAAGGTTGTTTCTTGTGTTCGGAAAAGTGATAGGTTGGATCTTCTTTTATATGTGGGTCTTTATTGCGCAGGTGGGAAAGTGCGATCGGCTTGAGAGGTACGCGTCGCCATGCATCGAACGTTCGACGTGGATCTATGGAACGAATTTCTCACGTGTGTGGACACCGTACTCGACGACACTTTTCAATGCATTCAGTCGGGACGATTGGAGCACTAATCGTCTTCGATATTGTCCTAGCCCTAGAAAGGCATTGATTCGAGAATCATGTCGACCGCCTTCAATCTGCGCGAGATCGAAAAAATATTAACATTTCTTGCACTTTGCGCAGTGAAACTACCCATCAAACACAGCAGGCATACGTCAGCTGTTGCTCATCTTAATGACCACTTCGATCGCTTAGGCGCAGCATGAATTGCATATTGAATGCTTCATTTGTCAGATTTCTTTCATGCTTACATCCATTTAAAATAGTAAATACCAGCGTCAGCAGAATTACATTGACGTGCGCGGGAAAGCCCGCCACGGTCCCGTGCTTCTTCATCGCATCAGGTGACCGCACGTAGAAAAGCTTGCATATTTCCATCTAGGGACTGGCGCGGATAGCTCTAACCGCGGATCCGCACCGCGGTTAAGATTCTCGCGGATATGCTAACCGCGGATAAGATTCCCACGGCTACCGCAGATTTCGCGGTAGCCGCATTATTGCAGTAGAAAAAAATAAACCAACTACTTTCATTCATTCTGTTAATTCAACTACACAAAAAGTCAAAAAAAATGTCTCAAATCAATTCACCAACATCTCCTCACTCTCATTTCATCCAAAATTACAATATGTCTCGAGTGCCAGTTGGCATCATTTCATCACCCACACCAGCATCATTCATAGATGCTGCAGCTGCTTCTATCACAGGAGAAGCTCTGCCTGTACAGCTTTCTGCACCAAAAACCTGGAGAAGAGTGAAGACTTCTATATATGATCAGACAGATGATCAAGTTTAGGTTTTAAGTGATGAAGAGATTATTGGTGCATTATATACTTTATTTACCCAAGTATCACTGCTAATTATACTGTATTGAAGCTGCCAGTAGAGACAAATGGAAGTCACCAGCATATGACCATTACAATGTCTCTGTGCACTGGTTTGATCAGGCAGGCTTAAAGAAACTCTCCTTCATCAAATGGCTGTTGGATCTTGAAATGATACCCCACTTTTTTCTAATATTAATGATGCTTTTTCAATTCTTGAAGCTAAAACATCTCAAACTACCAGTTCTTAAGTATATTTTCAATTACTTGCATTAATTTTTCAATTATTTATATTTTTTCTTTGTATATTTTAATGTTGTTATACCCATACTAATTAGTGGAGTTAATAGTACATATTGATTGACATGTAACTACAAAAAGTGTGATAAGAAAATTAAAAGAGCAAAACTTACACCAGGTATCGAGCGAAGGTTTGCTTAACCGCGGCTACTGCGGTAGCCGTGGGAATTTTAGCCGCGGATAAGCTTATCCGCGGTTGTTGTTGCGGTCAACGGTGACGGATGCTGCGCCAGTCCCTATTTCCATCGTTGGTCGTACCCAGTTTTGTCTAAATTCCGCACATCCAATTCACTTCTGCATATGCGTGGTCCTACAGAAGTTTGTAGATTCGACAAACCTCACCGTTATCCGATCAATCGTAACGGCCATCTCAGGCCGTTTCGACCAGTGCTGAACGAATAAAGCGTCTCTATGATGTTTTTGCGTTTGGGTGTAATGCTTCGGGGTTCTTTCAAAGAGCCGGAACACTCTTTGGTCGTTCTGAGAATCATAATTGTGGATTTTTTTAGACTTCTATTTGCTACACTAATAGCAGCATATCTGGATTTCCATCGCATTAATTGTGAAATATATCACTAGTTTAAATACGGTCTAAGACAGTTTTCTTGTTGCGCTAAAAGCAGTCCAGATAGAATCAAGAGGAAACTTCTTTGGTGGGAGTGCCTTGTGTAATACGTACAAAATACCGCATTGCAGGACCTAGACCTATCAAGTAAATGTGGACCTTGGAACGTTTAACGCGTAAGGAGTAGCACTGCATTTCAATGTTTGTAGGTATCCCAGATCATGAACCTGGTCCAGCAATTTATCACAGGTACTCCTCCGCAAAGGTGAAGGAGACTAAAGATAACACGATCAAACTCTTATAATTGATAATGTGTCCAATCACGCAGACGGTGCCATTATTTTCCAGTGCTTCCAATAAATAGATACTACAAAACACTTTAGCCCGCACGATTAATAAAATAATTTGGTATACACAGTCTGTAAGACAATAGGAAAGAGACAGACTGCCTACAGACCTTCCTTTATAAACTGGGACACGGTATATCCCGTAGAAACAATCAGTCCTAGATTCGACATAAAGGATATTTAGTAAGAATCGGACTGGACAACAGTAGTCGATGTACTGACCAAGGAAGCCTAAACCGCCCAGGAAACCGCCTCTCTTATTACGCTGTAATTGGCGAGATAAACCTACCGCAGACGAGAATTAATTCATGAAAAAACTCTCACCTTATCAGGATCACCAGTAGAATACCCGATTGTGTAAAAGAACCTGCCTGCAATCCAGGTACCACCGAGGGCAGCAGCAAGATATGGATACTTCAAACCAGTGACAAGGGTGCTATCATGTAAGATCATGAGTAAGTTATCGCCAAATAAACAAACAACATACCTCAAAATAACGTGAGGAGCGCTCTCAAGCGTGTTCTGGTGTGCACCTTATTTGAATGTATCAATAATTATCCAACGGTGAGATACTATTATATATATTTACGTTGTGCGCAATTGAACCGATAGGCTGCGACTGACGACATCGCCTCTGCTTTCTCAGCGTACGCTGAATTGAAATGACTGTTCAGCGACCGCTAAATGTTATGGCCAAATATGACTGACCTTGGGGATACGCAATATTAGCGGCCTTGCGTGCCTTGGTGACGTTGTACACTTGGTACGCATTGAGCAGGATCGACGACGTTGCTGCAGCGAGTACGTAGGAATAACTACAACGCGCGCATAAAGTCCGGTTCGAGTTGAAGAAAGCACGAAGAGCTTACCCTTGAGGGACTTCGATGGAAGGCATGATTGCTAACAACACTGCGAGAAGAGATTGAGCTATTCGCGTTTTATAATTTGACGACTGAAGGATCGGGGTTTATACCGAGTCTTTTTGCATCGCTACGAAAGTAGTCAGACGGCTGGAAGTACGCGTCACGGATCGAATGTTCGGCAAACAACTGCGGTCTATTCAACCGACGCAGGCTATTGACAGATCGTTTAATATACTTCCCCAATGGACACCTTCTCAAAGTAGAAAGGAGAGCATCTCTGCCCGTGATTCGGCGGTAATTCGTTGAAATCCATGAATTGTGCCCTTGCGTACCGGTTTATGAATTTGATCTGCAGTCACCAATGATTTGCCTGATATCCAAATTGGGCAAATCAATATGGGATATTTGCGCAGCGTCTCGCGCTCTTTCCGTATTTCCAGCACAAGTTTCTTGGCCACCATGAAGTACGTTTCCATATTACCGATACTAAGGATCTCGTGAAGTGAGTACGGATCCACCAACGGCGAGAAAGATTCTTCCGAAATTGAGCACATAAACTGAGTCATGAAGCATGACGTAGTCCAAGACAAGATCGCTACTGTTCTCAACAAGTCGACTATTGGAGCAGCACTTCTCATCATTAATCTGCAGAGGATAAGAATGCAGATAATGGCACAAGCATTGCACTCACATTCATGATGGTGCCCTTTTAACTTGAAACTGTGATTATTGTGTCGGGTCTGTTAGGAGTCCCGATAGTGCCGTCCATGGTCCTTGTCAGAAACAGTATAAGTTCCATCGATCCTTCTTACCATGTTATAGACAATAGCATACACAAAAAAGTGATGATTTGTGCCAACTGAACGGGAAGTGTCTAACGATTTTTTTACCCACTGGACTTACAGCGACTGAACGTGTCAGAATCAGTCTGGAAAGTGATAAACAGAGTCACAACATCAGAGTACTTGCTGCACCACAGAAGACTAATAAGTAAAGCATAGTAAGAGGACCCTGTGTTTTAGAGACCCTAGGCACTAAGTCGTGTCATGAAAGTAGAGAACCAAGAAGGCTCTTGACTAACGCAGAATCCCAAATACAACCAGGCCATACTCAATATTGCCTCTTTCAGTACAACTGTACAAGGAAATGGACAAATGTACAGCCCACGAATCATTTGCACAGAATGCAAGAAATGAACGTTGAGTCATGATGACTCGGACCAGGTCCATCTGCGAGGGAATGTAGTAAAGTAGTTGTGCTTCACCAATATGACAAGAAAATTGGAAGTTGGAACGAAAATTCTGTGTTCGGACCGTTCCTATTAGGTCCATCACGTGATTAAACCCACGTGTGTTTCACGCCCGTATTCATCCGCTCATTCTGATAGAACGGAGGTAAACCAGATACCACCTCTTACCAGGACAAGGGAAGTTGATGTATTGACGAGAAATCCTGCTCAGATATGCAATCCGATAACAGATAGAATCCTACTACTTACTGCTGTTGGATTTCCGGATTTGATTCGTTATCTAGGGGACACAATTCAACGAACACATGTGCTGCCCCAAGTCCATCTTGTTTGCCTCACCTAATTGTATTCCACGTTGCTTGTACAAGATATTTCCGTATTGATGTAGTGCAGGCTCATGCATACTCATTCACAGTACGTCTCTGCACACATTCTTGCTTTGCCCTTGTACCAAGTTTCTACCTATCCGTGTGTCTTTTTTTTCACCACATAATTTTAACCAATCATCTGCTATCTTTCAATTAATCAAGTTACTCTTCTACGGGATTACACAATTTTCTCAATTTTGGTTGCTTTTCTCGTAGCTGAGTCCATGCACAGATCCGAAGTCGGATTCGCATTATCTAGTACTTGAATCTAGTAACCCCTTTCTAATCAAATCATTGGGCATATCCTAGTCATAGAGATTGGTTAAGGTCTGCTTCGGATTCCATGCGAAAGCAAAATGAGACTCCACAGTCATATGCCTTCTTCGTTTTTCACATGTGTTTGCATGTGAACTCTTGTTGTGTGTGCCATTTGCATGTTGGGACCAATCTTGGACTGAAAGCTATGTTTAATGTTATGAGCAACAGGCAATCCAGGTGCCATCAGGAAAAAGTCTTAAGGCTTATATTAGCTTATAAACATATAAATTATATAAATTTTCTAAAAAATATAAAAGACCATATATCTAACCTCTCAAAATGAGAAAATCATAAAAAGCTATATAAGATACAAAAAGATATGTACATATTGTCAATATAAATAAGGTTTATAAGTGTTGACAATATGTAAATGAACTTATATCCAACCTCCTAAAATGAAAAGATATTAAAAGAACTTTATATTTTAACAAGAGTAATATAGTTTTATAATGTATACAATCTAATGTAAAGCTTTAAAAGTAGTATGTATATTGTTAGACATTATTATACTTTATAAGAGCTTTATAAGACTTCAAATTAGTTATTATATTTTACAATCCAGGTATTCATTTATTTCTCTTTTTTTCCTCTTATAATTAAGTACTAACATTTTAATACACTTGCATTTATTCTATTCTACTACATTACATTTTATATTGTATTTGTGAAATGAGCATGCAGACAAGTAAGAAAAAAGAGAGAAAGAAGGAAAGGAGAGTCTAGTCATAGAGAATCATACTTTGAATATTTGTTGGACCAGTTTTTGCCTAAGGGACAGAATTGTTAGCAAGTGCAAGTACTTGAAGTGAGGAGAGGGATGCACCATGACAAATGTAGGAAGGGTGGGCAGTACACTGGGTTGAGATCCGGAGCGTCGAGCAAGCTGATTTGAGCTACAGGCGAATCTGTGTCTGTGCATGTGTGCTGCATGCTCTTGCTGCAGCAAGCAATGGGAGGCGTGGTGTGCTGAGCCATGGATCGCAAGAGTGTATCTCCGGGACATTCTGACGTGAAGAGAGAAGGCAACGTGGAAGTTGCGGACAGACTCAGTGCAGGCGGCGTGAGTGGTGGGTCACTGCTTCCGTTCAATGCAGTGTCATGCCCGGCACAGAGGAAAAATGCACGCGGTGTGGCCTATCAAAAGTGATGTCAAACATTGAGTGGGTGGGAGAAAAAAGCATGTACCGGGTGAGAGAGAGGGTGGCACGATAGGAGTAGTTGTACAGGGACGTTGTCACAAGCAGGTACTCATCGAGTGTTGCTTGCGCTGCAGAGCGGGAAGTAGTACGCGAATGCATGGAACTATTGAAGAAGTCGTTCGGCATTGGTCAACAATGTGGATGTGCGAATGCGAATGCAAAAAGGAAGGCAAGTGTAAAAAAGGAAGACAACGAAGGAGGGGCAACACAAGACGCAGAGCAAGGAGCGGGAGGGATGGAAGGGAGACAAACAAGTTGGGAGGAGAGGGATGAGCAACATTGTGCAGGCTATTATGGTGTGGACTGGCTGCTTACGCTTTACGTTGAAGGACGGTGTAGTCAGGTTGGTGGCATCATCGCAGGATCTGAGGCCCAGCACGGGCATCGCAGCAGTGGGTTGGAGAGACGAGTGAAGTGATGTTTATTGCCTATGTTGTTGCAGGCAGAGTGCCTGCTGGTACGACGCTTGCGAGCAGAGGACTTGACTAGAGACTCAGAGAACAGAAGCAATGACATAGTGTTGGTGGCAGAGGGTTGGGGAGATGGTGAAGGTAGGAGGTAAGTGACGAAGAGAAATGCGTCATTTATGCTCTCGATCTTCAGCAGTTGATTATGTAATCAACTATAATATGAGTCGTCAACTGATAGAACATTTTAATTGTTGCATTTAGGTATAAAATAAAATTATTGATCTACTTTGTAATACAGTAAAAAGAAATATGACATGTATATAGCTTTCTAAACATACTGATGTAATTATTACAAGTAGATGAAATGCCTTTTACAATAATTGTAAACTGCTTGTATAAATAATCTAAGTATGATATACATTAATATACCTTTTGTATAAATTATAAGGCAACAATAGTAATTATTACATTATTATATTATAAGTATAACTCTTTCTTAAAGATTATAATTTAAATATAATACAAGCATAACACTTTAGGTTGTTATACAAAGTTAGTATAAAACATGTAATAGATTTTATTCATCCCTAGTACTTATGTAGTCTTTATATACATTAATATGTCTTATTTAAACATTGCAATTCAATTACAAGCCTTATAATTACTTTATAATGTATATACAATACATATGTTACTTTACAAAGTCTATAAGAAATACAAGAAATCTGACT